TCTTCTTCAGGGACTGCATCTTCTTAAGGGACTGAGGGTGTTATTTTTCTGGTTTTGGTGTTCAACAAAATTCTGCAATAGCAGTATGGCATCAGCAAGCATTTCCACACCTGGACCTCCTGTATTTACAGGGGAAAATTACCACATTTGGGCCATCAAGATGAAGGCCTATTTGAGAGCATTAAACCTATGGGAAGTTGTAGAGCAAGGAGGAAAGGAAGCTGATCCTGTCTTCCTGAGGGGAAAATCTCCAACAGTAACAGACTCATGAGGTACCACATGCTTCTGTCTTCCTGTTCAGAGACAAGGTTAGTCAGGACATGCCCTGCAAATACAAAGATAAGCCAATAGAAATGACCCTTTTAGGACAATGGAATCTAAGACACAATGAAGATCATGTGAATCATGTCCTACCACCAATCTCCATCAAAACCTGCCTAAAATTGCCATATTGTAATTCGGATTTGGAAGGATCTTTCAACTGTACTTTATTTACTGACTACGTTTTAAATTAGATTGCAGTTTGGTCCTTAATATTGTTGAAATATATTGCACTTTAGCCCCTGAATTTTTAAATTTTAAACACTTCAGGGCCCCTATATGGACCGTTCCTAGACAAAACCATGTGAGATGCCTTTATGATATGTATTCCAAGCAAATGGTTTTATCCTTAAACTCATATTTGGCAGGATTTCCCACACTAATCATTCCTGTTAGGCCACTTGTATATCTTTATCTCAAGCATGTCTATGCTCAAAGTGTCACTTGGCTTTACATATATCTAGTTGATTTCAAATATTTAGATGGTCTTCTATTGGTTGATCTTTGTACTTGTGGGGCATTTCCTGACTAACTTGTTGATCAACTAGAAGACAGAAGAATGTGATTCCTCAGGGTCTGTTTAGTGCAGATTGCACATAGCCAGTGATTCTTGGCCACTAAATTACATAGTTTAGAGAAAATTTTTCCATCTATATATATATATATATATATATAAGAGTAAAATTTTTCCATTCTTATATATAATATTATATATATTATATATATATGCAAATATATATATATATATATATATATGCAATTCTTTTGCTTTGGTCACAACTCACCGATAACTCAAGCCTTCATATTCTCTACTGATACAGTTTCCTCAAGCAACCAAAATCTGATACCTGTTTTCTGAAGATTTTACATCAACAAGAAGAAGACTATGGCTATTCGCTTGGCGGGTAATCTCTCTAAGCAAATTCTTCGCCGGTCTGTATTTGCTCCAAATAAAGCAGCTTCAAGAAGTTCAGAAGTACCCAAAGGATTCTTAGCAGTTTACATTGGAGAGCTTGAAGAGAAGCGATTTGTCGTTCCAATATCTTATCTAAGAGAGCCTTCATTTCAAGATTTGTTAAGCAAAGCTGAAGAAGAGTTTGGCTTTGATCATCCAATGGGTGGTTTGACAATTCCTTGCAGAGAGGAAGCTTTCCTTCATGTCACTTCCAACTTGAAGAGCAGATCTTAAGAGTAGACAGTCAATTAATTCACCATAGAACACAATTTTGTAAGGCAGGAATTGCCTGTTGAGTGTAAATATGTATTACAGAATCAAAAACGATAATACTAAATGAGAAAAATCATTACGGGAAATTTCTTGTACGTATTTTCACACTAAATTTCTTTTCTTTTTTTTTTTTTTTTTTTTATGCCATACTTGCTCATATTTAACTGGTAAAATGATTTAGGCCATGGTTTTTTTTTTTTTTTTTTTTTTTTAATATGCAACTACTCCCTGATTCAATATTTCAACTGTGTAAAACATGATTTAGGCATTGGTGCGACCATTAATTTCCACTTTGCTACTCCTAAGAATTCTAATAATTATGCAGTAAAGCAAGATTAAGCATAATACAAAAAATTTAGTTCATACACTCACACTTGAACATTCAAACATCAAGAAGTAATAATCAAAACTAGTCTCGGATTGTCAAATTTTTTCTTATGAAACCTGTGGACTACAAGTCAATTTATATATGATCAAAGATTGAACTAGCAGTTCTTAAGTCCATGTTTGGTTCATCTTAAAAGTGTAATAATGGGAAAGGAAATGGACATCTGAATTAGCTAACTCAAATGATTGTATTAAGAATTACAGTATTTCATTAAAAGCATCTATTGTTTCAATATGAAGTGATTGTTACAGAAAATTTTATAATTATTAGTACAACTGACAGAAAATTCCTTCTTGTCTCATGTGAACAAGAAAATATCCCCAAGAAGTTAATAACTTGGGAGAAGAAGATAAAGCCTGATAAAAATTAAATATGAGGAAACAACACGTTTTGTCTTTAAAGCATTCATTACAAATCTAATTCTACTCTAAAAACACAGATTACACATAAATCCTAATCCTACTCTGATAACTAGTAGTTGAAACTACTGCTCTGTTCACAACCGATAAGATCCAAGATTAAGAAACGACAGGTCTGCACAAGTTTGAGTCCGCGAAAGTGTAAAATTTGTAAATCCTTGGATTTATTCCTGTGTATATTAGATTTTGCTTAGAGCATACAATTTGAATTTTAAACCTAAACTGATTCTCTAAAACATTCCTTCCCCCATTAACAATATCACTAATTACCTTCAAAATGCAACTCCGTCGCCTCTTCAATCTCTCCAGCAGCAAAATTGCTTCCATCAATGGAGTTTCCGTTTCAACATCAGGTGACACAATTATACTTGAACTGAATTTAATTTCTGCCCAGATAATGCCTGTACGCAAAAGGAGTTATGTGGTTGCCTAACCATAAGCTTACCTCTAGAGTTGTTTCTACTGCAAACATTACTTGGAAAGACAAGTAAATAATGTCCATTGACAATTCTTTCATTTCCAAGAGACATTACTTGTGCTTGACATTTGAAATCTACCAAGCAAATTCTGCAAAACTCAAGACAGACACGAAGATTGGCTTTGCACAGGTTCTTGTGCAAAATTTGATACCCAATGACAGTGGTGGAAGAAAGTGCATGGCTATCATCCTTCTTAATTATTCTACTACAGAATAATAGTTTTTTATTTCAGTAAATCATTAATTGCATATATAGGCCATTTTTCAAATAACTAACACACACATATATATACGTTTTTTTTAGCTTTCATCCAAGTTAGGGATGTATTTTCTATTTAGTTACCCTTAATTGTCTTGGTTGCTACTGATTTTTTTTTTTTTTCTGCCTTATGAAAAAACAAAAACAAGAAAAGTCTCTTTCAAATGAAGGTACCACATGAAGATTCGCACACACATGTATATAGGGTTTTTTTTTTTTTCTGCCTGTGTAATTATGTACAGTCTACTCAAAACAGACTCATGGAGATACCACATGCTCCTGTCTTCGTAATCATAAGCAAGAAGGATAGATAAACCAATGACAGACCACCTAAAGATTGGAAATCTTGTTGATATAGATGCCAAAGTAAGTGTCCTTTGACCAAATAGGGTCCTCACAAAAGAATGTGAATGCTTGAGTTGTTTTGACCAAGTAATTAGGTATATGTCCTGCAAAATCTCACTGCACTTAAAGGTTGTCACGTGGTTTTGTTTTCTAACTAATCAACTAGAGCCTCAAGATTCAGGGCTTCGGCACATGGTTTTGTTCTATGTACTTGTAGGGTATGGTTTTGTCCTATGTACTTGTAGGATATGTCCTTACTAACCTTTTTTTGTCAATAGTAAGACAGCAGCATGTGCTATATATCTCATCTGCTTTAAGCAGATCAATTCTTGGCCTCTAACTCCATATTTTCAATGAATTGTTTCATCTATATATACGTATATTTCACATGCTTTCATCACAACTCTCAAACAACTCTAGTCTTCACATTCTCTGCTCATACATTTTCCTCGAGCAACCAAATCTAATAATTTTTTTTCCTTAAGAACAAGAAGAAAGACAATGGCTATTCGATTTGCGGGTAATCTTAAGCAAATTCTTGGCCGGTCTGCGTTTGCTGCAAAGAAAGCAGCTTCAAGATGTTCAGATGTACCGAAAGGTTTCTTAGCAGTCTACATTGGAGAAATTGAGAAGAAGCGATTTGTAGTCCCCATATCTTATCTAAAAGAGCCTCTGTTTCAAGATTTGTTAAGCAAAGCTGAAGAGGAGTTTGGCTATGATCATCCCATGGGTGGTTTGACAATTCCTTGCAGAGAAGATATTTTCCTTCATATCACTTCCAACTTGAAGAGAGCTTAAAAAGATTAGGCAGGCAATTAACCCATCACAGAAACAATTTTGTAAGGCAGAAATTGCCACCAAGTGTAAATATCCATAATCTTTAATTACAGAAAAAACAATTCTGCTAAATGAGACGATTTTTTTTATTATTTCTTCACATTTGAATGAATCATGAAAATCCTAGTAAACCAAAAATGTTGAGACAGTTATGATTTTCTCCCATATATTCTGCTATAATGAGACGATTTTTTTTATTCATTTTCTTCACATTTGATAGAATCATGGAAAATCCTTAGTAAAACCAAAATGTTGCAGACAGTTTTATGATTTCCCCCATATATTATATATATATTATATATATATATATTATATATATATATGTCCAGTAAAAAGTTTTCAGGCTTTGATTGCAAATTGACCAGGAAAGCATAAGTGATACAAATACAGAAGAGAAAAAAGCAATAAAAAGTTACGCTGTCAAAATTTCAGGCCCAAGGATATTTGAATAAGAAAAAGAAGATCCAACTGGTTAACGATATATGTCCAGTAAAAAGTTTCAGGCTTGATGCAATTGACCAGGAAAAGCATAAGTGATACAATTACAAGAAGAGCAAAGCAATAAAAATATACGCTGTCAAAATTTCAGGCCCAAAGTGATATTTGAATAAAAAGATCCAACTGGTAACAGATTTTCTAGCCTTACAATTTTAATTTCTATATAAATTTCTTGTATCATAATTGAACTGTGGCTGTACTACCTTACTAATCCATAGAAGGGAAAACAGAATGATAGGGCAGTGAGAATAAAGATCACAGATAAGATAGCTGTAATCATTCATAACTATGCATTGTTTATAAATGATTCAAGATTACATAGGAATTCAAATATACATAATACAATTTCCACTAGCATCAGGGGAAAATACTGTCAAATATTATTATCTGCTGTTATTTTGAGCACCAACTCCAAGCAAAGCAACCTACACATATCCTTCAGTTACCTGAATTGCAAATGCATCATCAGCAAACAATTAAAAGCTATATATCTACTGATATTAGGCATAAAGAGCATCCAGAAAAGATACCCATACAGCACCCTTGGTTACACCCATGAATGAAGTTATAAATTGATATAATTGTACTGATAATTTATCTACAAATAGGGATTCTTAAAAAGACAATTTGAATCAGTAAAGCTGCTTTCAGCATTCTAAATTTGCAAAATAATTACACAGAAGAAAAAAGTTCTGGTAATTATTTAAAGGAACCCTAAGGAATAACAATAAGTTAGATCCAGAATGACAAGCTATATCTCCACAAGAAGCTAAGGTTTTTGCATTGCTTTGTGCATAAATAAAAACAAAGGGCATATTATTTAATAGCAGTTACCAGCTATGCGGTAGACTCTGTCGGGGTTGACTGGGTCGGGGCATCCCCAATAAGCTTGAATTCCTGGACATCCTTAAAGTTCAACCATGGCTTCTCCCAAATCTTGGCTTCGTAAACTTTCTTTTGACCACCATCCTCTACCTCCAAAGTAATATAGTATATCGTCCCAGCCACCACCTGCTGCTTAGCATTCACGACTCTCTTATACTCCAACAATGCATTCTGCTCACAACATACCATTTATCTTCAGCCAACAATACTATACTCCATATATGCATATTTTTCATATAATTATTCTAATTTTCCCATTTATCGTATAGATAGCTAAATAAAAATTATATATATTAACAATATAAAATATAATATTGTGTCCATATTAATATATACTGACATAATAATCAATAAAAAATAATAAGAGAAATGTAATTATAATAAGAAACAATTACAACTTATAATTTATAATTAAATTCAAAGCTATTGACATTCAATTAAAAAAAACAAATTTTAATTCTTTTCGTAGCTATATTGAGATAAAAAGATCATGTATAAATCCAAAATTGAAGCAGAAAATGAAATCAAACAGAGCAAGATTAGAAAAAACTAAACAAAATATCGAAATTAAACCCAAAAATCATGACAGTAAACATATGATTAAAAGAAATTCGGATCTTAAACAGAGTCAGAAACCTGTTTCTTGTTATAGTCATCAACAGCGAAACGAGCAAGGCCATCGATCTCAACGCTGTTAGCGAATCCCTCCACTTCTTTAATACCGCCGACGGTTGCCATTCCCTTTCTTTTCTTTTCTTTTCTTTTCTTAATGAGAAAAAAGTTTATTGCTAAGGTTGAAAAAGAGCTGTTATTTATAAAAAACAACCAAGACAAGATAGAGACGGAGATATTTCCTACGACGGAATCAATCGAGGTCGTAGTTATTGATTTTGCACATAACCGCGTTTGATGCCCTCAATTAGTCAATTTCGCGACGATTTGATATAATCCAATACAAGCATGTACATTTTATTCTATTTGTACTTGCTTCTCTTTGCGTCCATCACCATTAGTCATCACAACAAGATTAAGCTCTTATTATGACATAATTATTTAAATTTAAAACTCATAAATTCTCAATTTTATGCATTGGATTTGGTTCGACCATTAAATAGGTGAAACTTACCTGTAAGCGAAAAATAATAGTATGTATAATTGTGTTTGATTTGAATTATAAATTAAAAAGAAATTACTTAACAAGTAGATATCTTTACTTCTAATTATTTATTTCAATTTAAACATATTATTTATTTATATTAGGTCATTTAATCGGCGCAATTATTTTTACTTAAAAATATTATTTAATTAATTTTTAGTTAAAATGTCCTATTAAAATCTATTCAAAATTTTTATTTTCAATGTATCATAAATTACGATCAAGTTTATAGAGAAATTGAGAATGATGACTGTTTTATGTCAGATGGTGGATAGTTAACAATTTCATTACAAGTTTAGAATGGATGGTGCTGCAGCATATGATCTCTCATTATTATTATTATTATTATTATTTTACCAGCTTCTGATCTCTCATTATGTTCCTTAACTCGTACGTATTGAATAATTATACTAATATTAATATATAGGTAGATTTTGGAAGGTCAATGGACGTCATCCAATGGGAGGAGACGTTGTTTAGAGGAATTGGAACGTGTTAATTGACAGACACAAACAAAGTCAATGGGGCCAACAGGTTTTGGTCATGGAGTGGCTGGTTTCATTCATGCATATAATTACAAGTTAGCAATATTAGGAATTTAGGATAACCACTCTTTCTAACACGTAGTTTTAAAATATTAAAATACTAAAATATAAATAGTATTTGCATACGAACTTTCACAAAATAATATTACGGCTCTTCTAAATTTACAGAGACAATTATACACCATAAGTCTATTTTTCTCCATTAGAGACAATTAACACCACAAGTCTATTTTTCTCCATTAGTCTTGCACATTTTCACGCTGAAAGAGTAGAGCGCTGAATACAATCGTTCAAAGGAGCATTAATTATATGTATAAAGGCCAATGTGGAAAAATCTTTAGCTCTTAATGAACATTTTCTCTTTCATTTTCCAACTATTTTCCCCTCTTTTTTCTACCGAAAAGCGACTTGCAGTGCCTCTCCTTCTCTGTGTCAATAACTTGAGTGCAAGAGAAAGATGGCTTTAGCTCCTGCAATAGACACCAAGTCATTCTACTAAAAATAAATAAACTGAAAAATAAACAGAATAGAGAGACAGTATAAGGTACTTGCGTTGTTGAGAAGAGCATCAACAGAGAAGAAATGAACATTTGCTGCAATACAAACAGCAAGAGTACAAGAATCGGTGGAGAGAAAAAAGAATGTGAACTTTCCAAATAGGAACATTTAAAATATACAACTCTTTTACAAAAGTAGAACTCCTGTTAGACCGAATCTCGACGGCAACGTCCATTACAATCCGCTTCCTACGTTGAGCAATCAAAATATGATTCAAGAGAGTGGTCTACAATTTTTAATTAAAAAAAAATCCATCGAAAATTAAAATCAAGTCAAATGATTTCGATTGCAAAATATGGTTGTATGGAGTCGTCATGAAAATAAAATAAGTAACCTTTCCCAGAGCGTAGAAAACCAGTGATTTTTATGGCTGGCATGCGATTTTCCACCAACAGAACAGCGAGACCACCTTCTTGAATACGGGAATCGATGGAATGGATGTTTCTGAGGAATTGAGAAACCGACGAAGATTTTAGGAGACTCTGCTACAGAATTAGGTGGAGATTCCTGCGTAATGTTCTTAAGATTAGGAACCGGGTGGCCATTTTGAGTGTCGCTGAAGAGTGCATGTCTCTGCGACGTCCTTGTAAGATGGTAAAAGTTGAGTAGGACTTTGAGTCAAGACGAGCCTCATCTTCCACTGAGTTATCCTAGTCGGCATGAATGTATTTCCGCTATTCTGTAGCATAGAAAGCTGCATAACTTATCTAAAAAAATGTACTTCAGGTACATAATTGGTTCCCGCAAAGTTGGGGGTGCCGTAGGATTATTTTACGAAATTTTAGGTGCAAATCCATGTGTGTGGCTGTTTATTTTTAGTACAGAGAATTTTACTTCAAATGAAAGCTCTTGAATATATGTGTGGTCATTTTCTTATTCTTGGAATCTCAAGTGTCGATTTGAAACCAACGAAAATTAAAATTGAAATTGTTTGAAATTGAAATCAACAAAAATCAAAATCGGAATTGAGAGGTTGTAGTCTGGTTTTAATTTTAATTTTTTTTTGTAACTGTGAACCAGCTAAAATTGGCGTTTCCAAGAATTTTGAATTTCTTTATATAACAATTAGAATTAGTCGTCCCACTGGTTCAAACCAGCGGTTTCAACAGGATGCAACAAATCTTTTTTTCAAAAAATTTTATTAAAAATCTCAAATTAACCCTTCCAATAATTATAAATGACTAGTTTTAAATATATTTTTGTGGAAGTTAGAATTTTTAAATTTATCATAAATACTCATTATTGTCATTCATCTTCAAATCAATTATTTCTCTCTAAGCTCTTTAATTTATAATTATTGTCGAAATTATTTTTGAATAATCTCTACAATCTCTAATTGTTCCTTTATTATTGTCCAACTTATACTCTTTTGGATATAGAGAATAACTGTGCATTTTTTTTAACTAATAATGAAGCACAATTTAATTTATATCCACAAATTACAAAATTTATACAAAAATTTTGGATATTTTAAAAATTTTCAATGACACTAAGTATTCTTTTAATGGAGTTCATTATTCCACATCTAATTTATTTTTGTTTGTATGCATTAATATCATTAATGCACTTCGATAAATTGAAAATGATGAATTATTAAAAGATTTTCAATTAAAATGAAATAGTTAAATCAATTTAAAAATATTCCACCTTCTTCTGTTGTTGGTTGTGTTTTTGCTCCTAGTTGTAAATTTGACATCTGAAAATGATTCTTTGAATCCTTATTATAAAATGTTAAGAAGAAAGAGCGGAGGTAAACATAATAACAAATGAAGTTAAGAAAAATATTGTAGATTTATATATTGAATTTATTTAATTTTTTATTTCATCAACTTCTTCTAATTTGTTTCAAATTCATAATCAATCATAAAAGATTTTCAATTAAAATGAAATAGTTAAATCAATTTAAAAATATTCCACCTTCTTCTGTTGTTGGTTGTGTTTTTGCTCCTAGTTGTAAATTTGACATCTGAAAATGATTCTTTGAATCCTTATTATAAAATGTTAAGAAGAAAGAGCGGAGGTAAACATAATAACAAATGAAGTTAAGAAAAATATTGTAGATTTATATATTGAATTTATTTAATTTTTTATTTCATCAACTTCTTCTAATTTGTTTCAAATTCATAATCAATCATCTAATTTGTTTCAAATTCATAATCAATCATTGACAATCGAAAGGGTAATTATTGTTGAACATATATTATTTCAAATTCATAAGATTTGTTTCAAATTCTTCTCTGTAACTTGACAATTATCTTAACACTGTTTTTCGAGTTTGATGATAATTTTGTAGGTTACAACATTTCAATTTTAGATTGACGGAGTCGTCATGTCAATATATTCTCAACCTTGCACTAATAGCAAAATAACTTTTAGCCACACCAATCTCAATTATTGCAGTTGAACAAACTTCGATGAAACACAATTTAAGATGATATCTGAAATAATAGAAGCACAATCATGCTTGGATGATCAGACTAAGGCCGAACTAAGGGCATAATAGAATACCAAAGAAAGAAGTGAAGATTTATATGATCTTTTCAATGGGTCCTCAAAAAGAACATTCATCAGTGCCATTAGCAACTAAGTGAGGTAAATGGGTTGAAGTTTGTACAAGATAAGTTAGAACTACATAACATTCGATTTCTCTAAAACCCTAAAAGGATATGTTAGCTTAATTTTCGAAAAAGAAAATTAAGTCCAAACCCCTTTTTTAAAATTAAATTTAAAAATTATGTCATAAATTTTTTAATTTTAAATTTTGAATAAAAAAATATTCTCTAATTTTTAGATTTTAAAATTATGCAAACCTACCGAAAAACTGGTAAGAGAACTGTACGAATCAAAAGTCAAACCAAGAAAAAAATTTTGGGATGAAGGGTATCATTTTCTCAGGATATATGTTTTTATGAGACTTAATTGAAAATAGTAATTAAACAACAATAACTATAAGATGATGAAATGCTAAATATAATTTTAAAGGCCAAGTAGAGGGCTATAAGAAGAACATGTGTCAAAATCTAGGAAAAACATGTTTGTTGTTTACATCATATTTTGATATTTGGATGCCATGGCCCATGTGATTGATTTATGTATTCACAATTGATTGGAGCTTAAAAAAAAATTGATTTTTGCCTTTAAATATTAGATGCTCGTTACTTAATTAATTTATAGCTTAAAGGAGTAAGCAGAGGTAATTACAAGAAGAGACCTGAAAACTAAAATTAGAAAAATCTTAAAAAATTAGAAAAATTAAAATCTTAAAAAACAAGTTAAAATTAAAAAATTAGATCAAATTAAATAAAATCAATTCTGTTTCGTTGATTTTAATTTGATTGATTAAAAAAATCAATTCCGTCCATAAAATTTCAATTATTTAATTTGCAATGATTCTGTTGAGTGGTAAAAGGTCAAAAGAAAAAAAAAAAAAAAAAAAAAAAAGTGTTAAAGCGTCAAAAGAAAAAAAAAAAAAAAAAAAAGCAATCCTTTGCCAAAATACAGCAATTGAAAAAAAAAAAAAAAAAAAAAAAAGCAATCCTTGCCAAAATACAGCAATTGATTAAATGACAATCGCCCTGCCATCGAATAATAAGTAAATCAAGAACTTATTATTGCAATTTGTCTTTCAATTGTGAAATTGTGATTGATGAATTTGGGCTTCCAACATCAGACGACACCTCTCGTACCTCAAACGTCATATCGTTGGTAAATGAAAATCTTCCTCCAATTTCGTTCTTATTGATGATGACACATTTCGAGAAGTTGTTCAACATCCAATGGAGAAACCAGAAATCGGCACCGCAAAAGGTCCTCTCTAGTTTCCATTTCCTTCCAGATCGTAAAATTGGAGGTAGCTGATTCGTGAGACATTCCTCCAGTAGCAGTGGCTATGCACATAGCATTGTTATTTCTAGCAAGAAAAGAATCTCTTCTTTTCAACAAACTCTTCTTCTCCACCACTACTTCCATAAACCCAAGCCAAACCTCTCTCATTTCCCATTATTTTTCCCTCCTCCACTCTTCACCTAATCCAACTCATCTCCGCCACCTCCATGCTCGCTTACTTCGCACCTCTCTCTACGACAATGTAATCCTCAGTTCTAAGCTCGTTTTGATGTATTCCTGTCATGGCAAACTCATCCCTCACTCTCTCTCTGTTTTCTTTCACATGCCGTATAGAAATATCTTCTCTTGGAACATCATAATGGGAGAATTTTCTCGTTCTGATTTTCCCGAGAAATCTATAGACTTGTTTCTTCAAATGAGGAGAGAATCCGATGTTCGACCCGATGACTTCTCTTTTCCTCTAGTTTTAAGGGCGTGCGCAGGTTCGGGAATGGCGGAATTAGGGACTTCAGTTCATGCGTTGTGCCTGAGAATGGGTTGGTCGGTAAGTTTGTTTGTCGCGTCTGCATTAGTTTTTATGTACGTTACTTTTGGTAATTTGTTTAATGCCAGAATGTTGTTTGATGAAATGTCTAAGAGGGATGCGGTGTTATGGACTGCAATGCTTGCTGGGTATGCTCAGCATGGGGAACCAGTGTTGGGATTGCAAGTGTTCGAGGAAATGGTTAATTTGGGCATTAAGCTTGATGGGGTTGTTATGGTGAGCTTACTTTTAGTCTTTGGTCGATTGGGCTGGTTAAAGCAAGGAAAGAGTGTTCATGGTTGGTGTGTGAGAAATTGCTTAGGGTTAGAGTTAAGTTTAGGAAATGCTATAGTTGACGTGTATGTTAAATGTGCTATACTAGGTTATGCACATCGAGTTTTTGATAGAATGTCTGAAAGAGATGTTGTTTCTTGGAGCTCCTTGATTTTGGGGTATGGATTAAGTGGTAATGTGAGTGTTGCTCTGGAGCTCTTTGATCAGATGCATCTGAGAGGGGTTAGACCGAATGATGTGACATTTCTTGGTGTTTTATCAGCTTGTGCCCATGGTGGCTTGGTCGAGCAAGCACGTGTATACTTCAAAATGATCCCAGATTGTGGGCTGGTGGCAGAATTGAAACATTATGCTTGTATGGTTGATTGTATGGGCAGAGCTGGGCTTTTGGAAGAGGCAGAGAGGTTTATTGAAGAAATGCCAATAGAACCTGATGAAGCAGTGCTAGGTGCTGTATTAGCAGGATGTAGAGTTCACAATAATGTCGATGTAGGAGAACGAATTGCAAAAAGATTAATTAGGTTGAAACCAGAGAAAGCTGGATATTATGTGCTCTTGTCCAATATGTATGCAGCAGTAGGTAGATTTGATGAGGCTGAGATAGTTAGGGACTTTATGAAAGAAAAGAGTTTGTCTAAGGTGCCTGGTTGTAGCTTGATTGAATCAAAGAGTTACTTTCCTTCTTCAACAGAAAATGAAGTTCTGGATTGTTTTTAAATATGATGAGAAGTGGATTTGTGTGATTATGGTTGCAAGGGTTCCAATTTCTTTGCTGGAATAGGATACAGAAAAAGAATGCATCAGTGCCAGGAAAAAAGGTCAGTATTACTATGATTATATTGCTGATATGAGCATTCAGTTTTCATTGTTATTCGCGGAAATCAGTAGTAGTAAACTGAATGTTGAGGGAAGCAAAGCATTTTGGAGGACTGGAAATAGCGTAGTTTTAAGTGCCACATTTCCTTTGTAGTCTTACCCTGCACAATATAATCTGACACTCTGCAATGTTGTAGTATAATCCGTAAAGGTAAAAAAGCTCCTAATTGCAAAGTCAAAGTGCCTATTGATCCGACATATCTGAAAAACTAAAACTAATTAGAAAAAAAAAAAGTAAATAAATAAAGTATAGCAAAAGAAAATGAAAGTGCTCATTGAGCTTTTCATATTCCTTTCCTGACTAGGAGATTTAGGGCGTTCATGATATTTTGTTGAAAATGTTTCTTCTTTCTCTTATTCTTTAGTGATGTTTCTGAATCCAATCTCTTTTTTATTTTTATCTTTAAAAGAATAATATTAATTTATTTCAACCTTAGATAAACAAAGCACAAGTGTTAAATTGTACTTTTTGATTTACATCTTCAACAATAATTGGATTTTAGTTATTTATTTTTTTGAACTAAGAAATTGGATTTCAAAGGAAATTTTTATCAAACACAAAGACATGGTTGTATCCTGTCTCTCCCTTCTCCCTGTCTCTCAATTTTTTGGTGGGTTATCCTATTCTTTGGAGTTGTATGAACATGGTTATTCCGTAATGGCTTGTTATACCCATTCAGATATTGCAACAAAATGGACTTGGTTGGAATAGCTTTACACAGCAAACTAGTTGTAACAATAACACCTGCTTAATGATAACAAATCCTTTGGCTGCCTTCTACACCTCTCCATGATTCTAATTGTTGTGGCAAAAATGAAAGTTGAATTTCTCTTAAGAAGCCATCATTAATACGACATTAAGTTGAAGATATTCAATTCAATTTTGAAGTTCTTTGATTTATATATACATTCTTACCATGTGATCTTGAACAATGGTTAAGTACACAAACCACTCTGCCTATGATGTACTTTATTGTCCTTTATTCATATTGAAAAGAATGTTGAATTCTCTTAAGAATCATCACTAATCAAATATTCAGTTGAAGATATTCGATTCAATTTTGGAGTTGTTTGATTTACATATACCTTCTTATCATATGATCTTGAACCATGTTTAACTACCGTGCTACTTGTGCTGATTTGTATTTCATTTGCTTTATGTTAGCTAGAAGGTTATAAAAGATTTTGTGAGCCAAAAACTGATCGTACGAAAGTTAGATATTTGGAAATTTCCCTCAGTGTCAGTTTAAGAACTTACTGCAAGAATCTATTATTTACTGAAAAATCAGAATTTTTCTCAAATTTTAATTGAAAATCTGCTATCTGCAGTCAAGTTAGTCCAAAGTCTAGCTCTTATTTGCAGCAGCTCTAGGGATGGCCCGTACGAGCCCCATACAAATACAAAAGCTTTGCCATAATTGTCAAATTCCATGTGCCAGACAGCTTTGTTTCTTGCTCATTACATTTTGCTTTTCCTTTTTTCTGTGTATGTGGTTGTTAAAATGATGGCCTTTTGTGGCTGTTCATGTGAGATTGTCGTTTTTGAAATGGATTCTCCCGTTTGGATTTCTTGTGATGTTTGGATTTTGGCTGGAGAGAGAAATACAGAGATTTGAAGTCAGAAGTTTGTATTTCACCTGTTTGATGAAATCACCGAGAGGTAGAGGAAGGAGTAGGACCGTAGGATCAAAACTTTCTTTTAATATTTTATGTTTGATTTTTTTTTTTTTTTAAATTTAAATATTTATTTCATTACAATTAAAATAACTGGCTAGAATTGAAAAAATGTCGAAACTTGAGGTTTTTCTTTGCTATTAGGCCTATATTCAAATATATTTCAAATGATCATTGCTTATATTATTAAATAATAATGATAATTAATATAATGTTTTACATGTTGCAATCAATCAACCAGTACTTTAAAGAGAATTAAAATGAAAATTTTTTATTTGATGTGTTATTATTATTTTTAAAGTAGAAGAAAAACATCATCTTCTATTATATAAATAAAGTATAATATAAATTAATTATTGTCTTTATCTTTATCAAAAATAAACTCATGCATTATTATAAAGAACTAGAAAATATAACATAATAATTTTAATAAAAAATTAATCAAGTATATATAAACAATAATTATATTACGAACATTATTAATATGCAATGCCCGTCATAAAAAAAACTAGTAAAATTCAAATGAGTGAGTCAAAATTTCGATAACCTATTCTTTTTAAACATTTTTATGCAAATAATAATAATAATAATAATAATAAATGTTCTTAATTTAGTTATAGAACTATTCAAGACAAATGTAGGCAGTAGTGCATGATTCATGTTTCTTCTTTTAGTTAGGAAATAATGTTGGCGTATGAAAGGCAAATATATGAAATTAAACAGATGGCATTATTCATGTTACAAAAAAAATAAAATTGTTTTTTTCAGTGCATTGACTTGGGAACATTAATGATTTGCAAAATTTTATTTTATATTATAAAATAAAATAGAATCAAATCATTAAATACTTTTTTTCTTGAAAAGGATTTAATAAATTATTTAAAACAATTTATTAGTACAGATGTTGATAGATGTTGATTGAGATGGGATAGAGCAGTCCAGATTATTTTTTCCTTAATCAAAAATTTTGAATTCGAACTTGAATATAGAAAAGAAACTGCCACGCACTTTTTGGAACTTGTAAGATTTGGCTAGTCTTATATTAGTTTATATTTATTAAGAGTGTGTGTTTTAATATCAAGTTAGTGAAATGTACTTTAATTAAAAAGCCACAGAAATATTTTAGGTTAACAAAAGAACCACTTAAATATGTTAAAATTATAAGTAAAATACTCTTTAATTATGATGATCTAATTATTTATTTTTAAAACTATTTATAGACATGTTTTTCTTTTTTTTTTGAAAAATAGATGATATATTTCAAGTTAAAAGATTAAAAATAATTTGTGATACTAAATAATAAAATTTACAAACACAATCAAAATGATAAAATTCATGTTTTTAAAATGAAATTTAATTTAAAAATAATAAATTTGTGTAAAAATGAAAATATTTATTTTTCTATTATAGTATTATTTATAACGAAATAAATTCATTTTAAATAATCTTCCAAAGTTAAAAGTTTATATATTGAATAAAATTTATTATTTTGTAGTTTATATTTATTAAGAGTGTGTGTTTTAATATCAAGTTAGTGAAATGTACTTTAATTAAAAAGCCACAGAAATATTTTAGGTTAACAAAAGAACCACTTAAATATGTTAAAATTATAAGTAAAATACTCTTTAATTATGATGATCTAATTATTTATTTTTAAAACTATTTATAGACATGTTTTTCTTTTTTTTTTGAAAAATAGATGATATATTTCAAGTTAAAAGATTAAAAATAATTTGTGATACTAAATAATAAAATTTACAAACACAATCAAAATGATAAAATTCATGTTTTTAAAATGAAATTTAATTTAAAAATAATAAATTTGTGTAAAAATGAAAATATTTATTTTTCTATTATAGTATTATTTATAACGAAATAAATTCATTTTAAATAATCTTCCAAAGTTAAAAGTTTATATATTGAATAAAATTTATTATTTTGTCCTTCTATTTTGGAGAAGGAATTATATAGGGTATGAATTCAGTGTCGGTTGAATTAAAATATCCTCTCTTATAAAATGATGTTTTTTTTTTTTCAAGTGGATTTAAAAGTAAGAGAAATCAAATAAATTCTCATTTAATTAAAAAAAATAATATAAATATTTAGATATGAATAAAATTAAAATAAAATAATTAGTACAGCTTTAATTTTTAAGACGAGATTTGATAAAATAGTTTTCTTTTTACAATTTTAAAAATATTTGCCATTTCCTAAGAAAATGATTAATTTAAAGATTCTAGTGTCCACTCTAAAAAAGAAAATGCAAAAGCAAGATCTCTCTCAAAAACAGACACTCAGACCCTCGAGAAACGCCAAAAGATAAGATTTTCCTTTCTTCGAGGAAATCTCTCACTAAACACGCCTACGTTTTTCTTAATCACTTGTTAAACTGTCGTTTGCTTTACAAACCCTTTTATCTTCTACTTTTCCTCCTCTATATATACTCTCTTCTCAGAACCCTCCTCCTCCGTGCCTCCATAGCCATCACTCATACTCTCTCTCTCTAACAGCAGCCACAATTTTTGAACACCCCATAAAGATAGTATCTTTCATTTTATATTTGTCTCTGTCACTAATTTAATCTTTTTTCGCCTAGAAAACCCAGATTTCATAATCTGGGTTCTTATAATCTTGACATTTTCTTCAAAACCCTTCATTTATATTCTCTTTACCGTGCGAATGATTCTGGGTTGAGTTAGATTTTGAATTACTTTAACTAATTCTTTTCCTTTGATTAACCCATTTTATCATTTTATTTTCTTTTGTTTCCTTTTTTTTTTTTTTCAAGAAATGGCAATTCCTTACCCTCATTTATCAATGGAGACAGGTTTGTCTCCTCTATCCCCATATCCTGTAATACTAACCCAAGATGAGCTCAAGAAAATTGCCGCCTATAAAGCTGTGGAGCATGTTGAATCCGGTATGGTTATTGGCCTTGGCACCGGCTCCACTGCCAAGCATGCTGTGGACCGCATTGGCGAGCTTTTACGTCAAGGGAAGCTAAAGAACATTATAGGCATACCCACTTCGAAAAAGACCCATGAACAAGCTCTCTCTGTGGGCATTCCCTTATCTGATCTTGATTCTTATCCAATTATTGATCTTGCAATTGACGGTGCTGATGAGGTTGATCCCAACCTCAATTTGGTGAAAGGTAGAGGTGGGTCTTTGTTAAGAGAGAAAATGATTGAGGGTGCTTGTAAAAAGTTCATTGTGATTGTTGATGAGTCTAAATTAGTAAAATATGTTGGGGGTAGTGGGTTAGCTATGCCGGTTGAGATTGTGCCTTTTTGTTGGAAATTTACTGCAAAGAGGTTGCAGGAGTTGTTTGGGTATGCAGGATGTGTAGCCAAGTTGAGGACTAATGGCTCCAATGGAAAGGAAAATGGTGGAGAGCCTTTTGTTACTGATAATGGGAATTATATTGTGGATTTGTATTTGAAGGGAAATATGGGAGATTTGAAAGCTGCAAGTGATGCAATTTTGAGGCTTGCAGGTGTTGTTGAGCATGGCATGTTTATTAATATGGCAACTACGGTCGTTGTTGCAGGGGAGCTTGGGGTCACCATCAAGAATAAGCAGAAATAGTGCTTGGTGATGGAGATTGGAATGGATTAAGAGGTAGTTTTATGGATTTATATATTTTGGGAATTCATTTAACATTTCTGATGATTGCTGGTTAGATTGAGGAAGTTGTTTTCCATCATTATTTTTAGAGGGGAGGAAGTTTTGGTGTTCTTAGCATCAATTTATGGTTCATAAGGAGAGTTTCCTCCAATTTTGGTGTTATGTTTGAGGTAAGAGTCTAAATTTACAGAGAAAGATTAGACCTTTAGTGAGTTTCTGTAGGCAGCTGAGTGATAATATCTATATAGGTACGCCAGCTGCTGTGCCAAATTATTCATTTTAGAAAAGTTCGAATTATTTAATATCAAACTTAATTATTAGATTACATCTTATAATTGTTTTATGGATATCCTACTAAATTTCTTCTTAGTGCTGAAATTCTTTTGATACCATTGTTTCAAAATGCTTAGTTTAGTTTTATTTAGATAGGTTGGTACTTTTCAATATGTATCTGCTGATTAGGGAGTAAGGCATTATTGACATGGTTACCTAGTCATCAATTGAGCTCTGCACTCTATTTGCCCATTATGAAGAAACAAATTTAAGAAACTTGGTAGTTCAATATTATAGTGATTTCAGAGTTTTTCCTTGACTTTCTGCATGTTAACAACTGGTTTGAGCCATCTCGAAGGCTGTAAGTTCTAAAATAAAAAAAAAAGAATACTGTTGAATGAGGCCAGGGAAGCTTCTAATCTATACTTTGTATTTGTTCAAAATTTTTTATATGATATTTCTAATCTCGAGGATTTTAGTCGTGCTTATTAGAACATTTTACTCTGTTACTATGTCAATAAGCTTTGACAGTGTAACAATTAACAAGGTTCTTGAAGGTTTTCTTATTTCATGTCGTTATGACCTGCTAATTGAACAGATCCTTTCTTTATCATTCATCTGTTAGACTTGTTCTGCAATCCTAAATCTGTTTTCTGATGAATTTACATGCTGTTTACCCAGAAATTGCTGCAGAATGTATGCATAAGAGGCTTCAGGTTCTTTTTCTTTGGAGAAAGCAAGTTACCCATTTGTGTGTATATATTTATAGTTCTATTTTTCTGATAATGGAATTTAATTTTAAATTATTTTTGAACAAAATTTATGGGTTTGGAATAGAACAAATCATGGACTTATTCAAACCCAATTCAAAATCAGTTTATAACTTTCGAAGTTCAATTTGGTTTGGTTTAGAATTTCATCTGAACTAAATCTGTAACAGTAATTTAAAAAACAATTTCTGCCTAGATCAGATCAAGAGAGTTACTTATCTAATCAAACCTATGATGTGATTCAATTTGATTTGGTTTGGAGACGGTTTGAAAGGGGAAAAAGAAAATAAATATAAAAACAACAATAATGTAAAAATACACATCAAAACTTTATCTTTCATTTGGATCTCTATCAATATTTTATCTTGCTCTCTCAATTTCTACTAATAAAAGAAAATTCAAACTTCCAATTAATGTTTACACCAAATATAAAATAACAATTAAAATAAATAAATTATGTTTAATTATCTTTTGCAATTTCTTCATTACAAATGGCAGTCCAATGGAGAATAATCAACATTACAAGATTGCATTTAGATTTAACAAATTGTGTTTACAATTACTCTTCTTTTTTATTTTTCATGAATAGCAAAATATGTAAAAAGTGAATTCTTCAACAACATTTTTAGTGTATTGTTTTAAAAAAATTTGTGTTCATTTTCAGAAAAAAAAAAAAAAAGAATTTGTGTTCATATTATAATCCTTTTATGACTTACAATGTGCATCCTTCATTCTCCATAAACTCAGTAAAATTTCATTCAACCTGTTTGGTGTTTAAAAATAGAGTACTTATAATTCATCTATATGTACTTGGGCAAAGCAACTCGTTGTGAAAACGGGCGGTTCGTTCCAAAAATTGAAAATAATTTTTCCTTAAAATCGAATTATATCAAAATAAATTTAGAAACTGAATCAAACGTGTCAATTTGGTTGTATACATCAAATTCAGTTAAATGATTTGATTTCATTTAAAAAATAACTGTTTTATAATGACTAATTTATATATCAAAAGTAATTTTAGAAGATTGCAAACTAAAGTCCGAAAATGGAAAAGCTAAAATCGAAAATAATTCAGTTTATTTCAGTTTTTTCCCCCCACACGGAAGTGGTCAAGTTGGACGTAGATAAACAAAAGCCAAAAGGGTATATTTTCGTAATTTTAACAGCAGTAAGAGGTCACTTCCGGATTTGCATACAATGCATTCAAATGACATTGTCTGCGCGTTTCTGTTTGAGTTCGGGAAAGTAAACGTCAGTCGAGAACAATGTCGTTGTTTCGAATTTCATTTCTGAACTAAACAAAACCTCCAAAATACACATCAAATACAAAACTAAGAAAACATAGCATCCATGGAAGACGATCATACTGCCCAGGAAGAAAAAACCAACGGCGTCAAAACCCTAGCCTCATTCTACTCCAGTTATCTATCGAACCGTTTAGCGACTTTACTTCCCTCCTCTGACTCTTACGTTTTCGGGAAAATTTCAAATCTCTGCCGCCAAACAGTCCGCTGCACTTCTCGCAAACGCAGAGCTTGTCTCCCTCTTCCCTTGCCTTCCTACACGCCCGAATCTTCTCTGTACGACTTCATTTCATACAAGTTTGATGCTTTAAAGTAAAAACCAACAGATTCTAATGGAAAAGTTTTCTTTTCCTTTTTTGTGTGTTTGTGCAGGGTTGTGAAACAGGCATCTAGAGTATATGAAGTTTTGGAGGATATATTAGAGTGCGCTTTAACAAATTTGCATAATATACAGAAGAATTTGCAATTTTGGCAATCTAGAGCAGAGGTGAGGAAATATCGGAACTATCATTCGTAGTGTAGTAAAATGTTTTACCTAGATAATATTTTTTTTTTCTATTGAATTTCAGGGTTCTAATTCTAGAAAATTATACTTCATGATCTTTGAGAGAGGGCCTAGGGCTTTCATTAATGGAACTGTTCAATTATTGCAAGAATGTATTGCTCAGGGTCCTTCAATGCAGCATATATGTCAATCTGCATCTGCTTATATATCTGAGAGGCTGACTGTTTTAACTGCATTAAGGCGCGTATTGGCTACATTTTTGGCTGAGGTTTGCTTCATTTTGCCTAGTTTCATTTCATTTTTGTATTCTTCAGTGTTGATTGATTCTGGATAGTGTTTTCACTTGTTTTATTTGCTTCTGTACTTTCTCTTTATAAAAAATTATAAATTGTTGATTTTCTTCTTATTTGATTCCTCTGGTTGCATATCATCATTACTAATTCAATGATGGTTTTTAGTTGGAATGGAGGGCTTTTTTTTTTTTTTTTTTTTTTTTTATATCTTGCTATTTATTTGATTCCTCTGTTGCAGTATCAATCATTACTTATCATGATGGTTTTTAAGTTGGATGGGGGCACTTTTTTTTTTTTTTTTTTTTTTGGAAACCTTTCCTTTTCTTTACCATTTTTTTTCAATGGAAGAGGTCCCATATTTGTGATAATTTCGCAAATATAGATGCAATTTGTCGTTTCCTTAGTTGCAGCTTTGAATGTTTTATTTTTTTTTTTTTTTTTTTTTGGAACCTTTCTTTTCTTTACTTTTTTCAATGGAGGTCTCCATTTTGTGATAATTTCAAAAATTTAGATGCAATTTGCGTTTCCTTGTTAAGCAGCTTTGAATGTTTTATCTGACTGATTATTCCTCGTGATAGATGATCATGAGTTTCAAAATGATATGCACATTAATATACTAAGGTCAAGCAAACTTGTAACCTGTCCTAGGGATTAGCTATTTAAATTCGCGATATTTTATAGAGCTTGCCATCTATTATCTGTGGTTAGTGATCAGTCCCTTGCACTGGCCTTTTTCTTCCAGTTAATAAACGTAAGACAGAAACAGTGAATCTTGTATTTCATTGCCATACACCAGCCGCCCTTCCCTTTACCAATGATGCTTTTACTTTTTGTTTAAGTGGAAGTTCAATTATTTTCTGTAGAGTAGTAGTAATGCATATTAGAAACACCTTTGGAAGGACATTAGGTGCTCAATGTTACTCTACTTTCAATCTTCACCTTTTGCATCTTGTATCACTTTAGTTAAACTTTGACACCTGCTCTCCTTCTCATTGTGGTTCTGCAAGCTGTATCCTAATATAGATGGAAACTTTCAAGGTATAAAAGATCCAATTTGTTATCTATAGTGTTATATGGTTGTTTTTGGAGAAGGTAAGACTTGAGTAATATTGTAATTCTTCTTAGATAACTCTTCTTAGATACATATCTGTGTCTGATCAATCATATTAAACTATTTCTAATAAACTTTATTTTTCATAAGATAATATTGTTTATATTTATGATTAGAGTACGTATCTCTTTTTGTTTCGCTGGATTTTTATTGATTTGAACATGAACTAGGTGGACTATTCCTTTTCCTTTTTTCCCCTTATTAATCTTTTTCTCTCTTCTTTACTTCTCTTCCATAACATTTAATTGTTTGTTTTTTTTTCTAAACATAGTTTATTTATCTCTCCCACCTCCCAGTTTTCCTTTTCCTTTATGGAGCTTCTTATTCTCCTTTTTTCTATTTCCGTGAGAAAATGGTGACAGTAAAATTGATAATAAGTAAAAATGAAGTTCCCTAAGTACTCTGCTTCTAGTTATTTTGGCATTTTTAAACATTTATTATTTTCAAGGTAAGCAGTAGAAACATTGTAGATTGTAGACATAAAGGTTTTATTTGATAGTTGAAAATGTGAGAGCAAAAGTGTATGCTTAGAGAAAGGGATACTCTGCATGGCTACATGAAAGGATGCAAATTTCAAGTATTTTTGTTTTCTGTTATTTATTGATAAGATAATGTATGCCAATATTTGTTTGTGAATTATTTTACAGATGTTTAAAAAGAATTAATCATTGTAGGAGTAGTCCCATGTTAATTGCTTAGAAAACATTTATCAATTTGATTAATTACATAGTCGACCAATTTGTTATGTCTAATTTTTTTTTTTTTTTTTTTTTTTTTTTTTTTTATGTCTAATTTTTTTTTTTTTTTTTTTTTTTTTTTTTTTTTTTTTTTTTTTTTTTTTTTTTTTTTTGGTTATTTTTGATAATTCTCACCAAATTTTATGGGTAATTCAGTTTTTAATTTTCAATACATGAAATTTTCCTCATTTAGTGTGAAACTGTATTTAACACATAATTATCAAAGTCTTGAGGGGGGTTTGCCAATGTTCTCATTGTGCTCCATTCTATCCTGAGTTGCATTCCTTAGAAACAATGCTGAGATAAATGCTAGGTAGGTATCATTTTAGTGCTGTACATGTGCTGCTGAGGCCCTCTGCAGTTGCTCCATTAATGTTATAGGTTTTTCATTTGTTCGTTTGTGGCCATACTACTGCTTATTGATTTTCTTTTATATCTTCCTTCTCAATAAATTTTGGTATATCAATTTGCATTATCTTGTAATGTTCATCTTAGCTCTTTTTCTTGGCATGCAATGGGAAATTTAAGGTTCATCTCAAGTGGAGTAAACTTTTTGAAGTTTACATGGTAGGCTTAGCCCATATTAATATTTGTTTTGACCCATTTGATGTTGCAAACTTCCCCTAGTTACTGTGATGGATGGAACTGTTTGTTATACAATAACAGCAATGAACAAAAGAACAAAAGAGCCAAACAATCAAGAAAGGATAATGGTTGCAAGCAACCCCCCCGGAACAAGCCCGTGGCAGAATACCCTGCTGCAATATACTGAAGACATATGGTTGGCAGGAGCAACCCCCCCCGCGAACCCACTAGCCTCGTGGCAAAGAAATATCCGCACTCTGCTCGTCAATTACTGAAGATTCCAAAACACGCTCCCCTCCACCCCCCCCAGCCCACCCCAAGGAAGACCAAAAAAAATTAAAACTCTTGCCCAGCCAGGCCCTCATATATTAATGGCTTTATCTCATAACTAAACTTAGGTCTGACCTGGCAGCGCTGCCTTGCTCACACAATCTATCATAGTGCTATAGTCCAAATTACTATCTGAGTTTTTTTTTTTTTTTGTTAATAATTCAATTATAGATAATTAAACAGATTACAAGAATGAAGCTCTAACATCTTCTCAAAATTTTTTTTTTTTTTTTTTTATAATTCATTATAGATATTAACAGATTACAGATGAGCTCTACATCTTCTAAAAAATATGTAAAATTGATTATCAGTCAATTTCCTGCTTGTGGCTACAGGTCTACATGGAAGTTGATATACATGGAGAAGAGTTAATGAAGGACCCAGAACAGTACTTACAATCATTTTTAGTTACTATCAATCGCTTATTTTCAAATTTGGAGGCATCGATTACTCATTTATGTGTGATACACCAGGTAACTTTAAAAATATAAAATTACATTTTTTCCTTTTTAATCATCCTCTGGTTCTCATAATCTGTTTTAGCCTTTTTTGCATTTTTATTCTTGATCTCACTTTATTTTCTCTAAGATCTTCTAAATATTTTTGTATTCTTTTTAACGTTTATGCAGTCTGATCCTTCTGTTGATGGAAACTGTTCATTTCCTCTGCTGTTTGAGACTCTGCCAGAAGTTAATCGAGAAGGGTCTCAGTGGACTGACCATGAAATGACGGATTCCATTGACTTGGTATATAAAAATCTACAGAAATTGGATTCTTTCTTGTCTCTTATAGTAAGTATATTCCATCATCCTTTTCTTATTTGGGCTAAATTTAGGTTGAAATCTTATAATTGGTTAACTTTTTGAGGCATGTGATGCATATGTGACCTTTTCTTAGGTTGCCAAACACCAAAAGCCAAAGAAAGTGACTCAGTACTGGATCCGTTACACGTGTGGTGCAGTTGGCCTTTCTGTTTGTTCTATGTGGCTCCTCAGGCATAGTCGTTTGATGGGAAGTCCTGATATTGACAATTGGATTCGTGAAGCAAAGGACTCAACTGTTATCTTCTTTAATGAACATGTGGAACAACCGGTATGCTTACCCTTTTCAGTATAAACTTGATTTGGCCTCTTATTGTTTGTTTTTTTGTATCAGAAGCATTTTAATGAACTTGTGACTTGCTTTTGGCATCTTCAAAAAATTTGAATGGCCAGCTGCTCATTTTAAAAAAGAATAGATCAAGTGTTCATAAATATCAATTAAGTATTGAGTCCGCAATTGCTTAGATATCAAATGCCATTAGATACACTGGTATAAAAGGAAATCTTTAGATTTTATTGAGGATCTTATCAATAATTTAGTTGTTGGTGAAAGTCAAAACTTTCATTGAAATGTTGCGAAAACTCAATTGTGTTGTAAGCTTGTGATTATACTTTAGAAAGAGTGCTTATATGAATTGGATTTTGGACATAAGATATTGGGAATCTGTATTGGCGATACAAACAAGAAACTTGAGAAAGTCAACTTCAAAGACTCAAGAAATTTAGAATTATGATCTAAATTTCATAGAAGTCTTATAATGGACATTGTTGTGTATTTTTCTTGTCTCTATAGATTTGAGAATTTATAGTTCTTTACTTTTTTGAGTATATCTTTATTTTTAGTCTTATTCAAACACTAATGTGTTGAGAGCTTGTTTGATATAAGTCAATTATATCATGTTTATCTTATTTATTGGGTAGAGAGAGTATTTATGAGTCTTTATTTTAGCTTGTTCTTTTGAGTCATCCTTGATCTAGGAAACAATATGTTTTTACAGATTGCTTGATGTAAATAATTATGAAAATTTCTGGAACCATTCGCAGATTCATATATTTTAATTCCATGGAATTTGTTATTCTCGAGGCAAATGCTATTGTTGAGAATCTGGGCTCTGGGCCCTAGGAGTTTGATATTGGACTTATAATAAGTTTGGCTTACCTTTAATACAAAATGGCCTAAGCCTTTTTGGTTGGTTCGCCCTTCACATTATATGCCCTTTTAGTTAGTTGTATTTATCCGATGTGGGATTACGTAGATACTCCAACACTCCCCCCTCAAGTGGGACTACCCACTTGAAAGTAAGTATTGAGCTTTACCTTTAATACAAAATGGCCTCAAAGCCTTTTTGGTTGTGTTCGCCCGTTCAACATTATATTGCCCTTCTTAAGTAATTAGTTGATTATTTTATCGACTGTGGGATTACGCTAGATACTCCAACACTCCCCCCTCAAAGTGGGACTACCTCACTTGAACCAAGCATATGAATGGCCTCAACATCCGAGGTCCATCAAGGGTACGAACCCAAGGGCGACTAGAAACTCTCTTCATTAGCAGTTTTCGGAGGTCCAGGCTCTGATATCATGTTGAAAAATCTGGGCTCTGGCCTACAGGAGCAATATAAGTGGCAAATCAAATTCAATTAATATATTTAACTAATTGGGTATATAATGAAGTTGAGACTTATCTTTACCACACAATAATGCCCGCTTAGAGCCTATTTTGGTTGGTTTCACCCTTTCCGTAATTATTATGCCATTTAGTGTAGTTGTTTGTATATCCCGATGTAGCGATTAACCCCACATACTCAACACTGCCCGTTCTCACTCAAGTGGGTGACGAACCTCCCAGCGTTGGCACAAGCATGACGGATCGCGCACCAACACGTGGTCCATGCCAGGGTGTTCGACCCAACCACTGGAACCTATTCCTTCATATCGCACAAGTTTCAGGTTCCCAGGCCTTGATCGGACTCTATGTTGACGAATTCTGGGCTCGTTCTGGGCCCTAGGAGCAAATTAAATCAAAACCTCAAATTTCCAATCCTCATTATAATTTAAATGGATTTGAGCGTGCATACATGATTGTCGGCCTCTACCTTTAACAAAAAATTGACACAAGTCCCAACCTTTTTGGTTGTGTCTTAACCGACGGCCTTCTTCAATTATAATGCCCGTCCTTACGCTTTAGTTAGTTTGTATTTATCAATGCTAGTGGGAGCTTACCTAGGCACATACTCCATACTAGATCTATTTAAAATTTGGTAGAATATGTACATATCCATAACCATGCCCAAAATTGATTAAGGGATATAGGAGAAAATATTGACCGTTTGTCTAAAATAATATGTTCTTGAGTTTGCATGAATGGGTACTCATAGGACACTTACAGTAGTAATTGCTTTTTATTACTCGAACTGCACAGAGATTTCATTTAAGAACCATAAGTTTAAAATCGACATATAAGGATAAAGAAATTGTTAATACAGAATTCATCTATTACCGGACAATCTTACTAACCACATATTCTGCTAATTGAAGGCTATCACCCGGACCGGCGGCATAATCTGCAGGGACTCCCTCCCATACGAGGGGTCTTTATCCCGAGCCTTAAGAACGAATGGTTGTTAGCATTCTTGGTTATATCAGGAACCGAGCTAACCTGTCCAATCACCGGTCTGATGTCCTATATATAAGCTAAAAAGCTAACTAGGTCTCACAAGTTTCAAATTAAGAACAAGCTTTCTTCATGATGAGATTTCTATATACGAACTCAGATCACGTGAGAGCCGATCTGATATGTTAATCTGTTAGACGACTCTCCTGCTTAGTATGTGGACATTGGGATGAGAGCTAACCACTTTCTTATATACGTATGACTAGAACCACGATATGTTGGCGCGAAGTTGACCTTATATATGCAGATAAATATAGTTTAGTTTTCTATTTGCGTTAAAAATGATCGAATATTTAATGTAATTTTTATAACCATCATTCTCTCTCCTTTATAATTATAGCTTAATATAGAATCACTATGGTTCTGATAATGAAGAAATTATATTTGTCTGCAAAAATTGTTCTAAGTAATTATTTAATAAATTCTATACCCTTGATGTATTGATGGAGCTCATGCTTCACTGTATTTCCATATAGACGATGGAACTCTTAATTTTGAGAGATCTTACATTCTGAGGAAGCAAACCTTCAAAAGAACTAACGACATAAGGGAGAGTATGATGAGATATAGAAAGTTCCAGAAATATTGTGGTAATCGAGCACGTGGGATTATTGACCTCAGGATTTTTGGGGGACATTTACATTACATATTGAGCACTAGACAAATTTGAAGATAAGCTTCGTTGGGAGTTTGTGGTAATGCTCCAAAATTTATGCCTTTGCTCAAATTTCATTTCCCCAATCTTTATGATATTACAATTAAGACTAAAGGGGCATAGTAGGGATGTGATATGGCATCCCAAGGCTTATGTGCCATTTTATATTTATGTTACAGACCCAACATTTAAGGATCCGTCCCATGTTAAAGGAGATATTCAATCTGAAATTTGATATTATATGTTGTAAGAGCAGAGCCCGATTATCATTTTTTTCGCCCTTAGGGCAAGCCCAGATTCTCACCATAGTCTCAGCCTCCAAAGGGATACCTCCATTGAATCGATTCACAGCCAAAATATGATTGTAGCGAAGTAAATTATCCCTATGGGGATAATCGCCCCAATAGAAATTTGTGGCCAGAAACACGGTGATGAACAGATCGACATCTACCCTGGAATGGCCACCTCTCGGTAACTCCCTTGTAGATCCTGGGCTTCTCTCCACATGTTTTATGGCTTATGCTCACACAGTGGGTATCTGTCTTCAAATTCAATTATATATTTAATATTGAGCGTATAATGAGTTGGGCTTACCTTTAACAAAAAATGACCCAAGCCTTTTTGGTTGGTTTACCCTTCACATTATATGCCCTTTTAGTTAGTTGTATTTATCTGCTGTGGGATTACCCACATACTCCAACAGCTATTAAATTTGGTAGAATATGTCATTTAACCCAAATTATTAAGGGTACAAATTTGACTTTTCTAATAATAGTTTTGAGTTTGCAAATGAATTCTATACCTAATAGTAATGCTTACGATACTAAACATGAGAATTTATTTAGAACCAATTTATCAGCTAATAAAGAAATTGTTAATAAAATTCATCTTTACCAAACAACTAACATTTATCTGCTAATAGGTATCAGCCATCGGTTATCAGTAAGAGTTGTTGCTTCCAACGGTCATCAACAGTTAAATTAGACAAGCTCTAGACTAGTTTTAGAAATCCAGTACTTTTAGCTTATAGTGACATGGTGTCTTTAATGATCAGACCTGTAGCAATGTGTTATTCAATTTTTCTATCTATCTATTAATGTTTTATCTCTCTCTAAATAAGATTCATGTAGGGATTATATGCAAATTTCAAGTAATTTAATAAAGTCTTACTTGATATGTGGTCAGCTTCTGTCCATTAGAGATGAACTTTTTGAGACATTCAGGAAGAGACACAAAGGGGTTATGGAGATAGAAGAAGTGCAGTTGACTGCAAATTCTTTGCACAGGTCAAAATTTGCCTTTCCATTTTTTAAATTTTGTTTTCTTATAGTATTGGATAATGAAGCCTATTTATGCAAAAATTGCATAAATTCCCTATGGGATAGCCAGAATCAACAGTGATGAAAGATTTGCCCCCTTGTATCTTAGATGCTTGCATTTGATCACACTTAAAATTATGTTTTTAAATTAAATGCAAGCTTAAATTTGATGACAAGGGAATGATGAAGAGTGTGCAAGATATTCACCGTGATAAAAGGGTGGAAGGATATTGGGCTTTATTTGGAAAGAGCACTTCTTTTGGTATATAGTCTTATACTGTTAGGTATTAGCATACTTCAATCCCAGTTGGGGTTGCGGATTCTTTTGTTCCTTTTTGCTGCATTTGTGTGTATGTTTTTAGAATGGAGTTATTATATTGATTCTTTCTTGAACACTTTGCTCAAAATTAATCTTGGTTTACTATGGCTCCCTTTAGGATTGGGTTTGGAGTTGCTTTTCAAAAATGTGTTTTGACTTTTTTTTCTTATTATTATTTAAAGAACTGATATCTTTTGGTAAACAATGGTTTGGGAAAAGCTAAAACATCTAGTTTCTTCCAACTCATGGTTTGGAAAAGCTAAAATATCTAGCTTCTCCCAAACCATGGTTTGCTAAGCTCTAAATATTGTAACAACAGTCTAATCACAATGCCAAGCAGATACTATGTCTTTTGCACATGGTTTACTCATTAATAAATAAAAAATCTTGGGCCATTCAGGAGTTGGCTTGTACTTGCAATAATTTATGTTTAAGGAAGTACCTCGAAATTCTGGATACTTGGTAATATCTTTTGCCATTAGCATGCATGTCATGGATAAAAGCAATCAAATGATTTAAGCAGAATGGACTTCTATGTTCTACTATAACATTTTTTTTTTTAAATCTCCATTCTTCTGACAATAATTTGGCTTTACTGAGATCAATTTTCATTAACCTTTTACCTAATTATTTGCATGGCTACAGAATGTTACTGGCTTTCAGCGAGCAGACAAAAGGTCAAAAGTTTCCAGAGAATGCTTCAGATCAAGAATTGATGGAAGTAGTTATGGGAAGGTGTGCCCTTTTCCTTTAAGCTTATGTTGTTACCTATGATTGTATGCAAATAAGAAGGCCATGAGATGGTAAAAGTTGCATGTAGAACAACTCAGAATGGCTGAAATAATTACTAGTTTCCATGTCTGAGATATTTTACCTTTTTCTTTACCCTTTTCTGTCCAATGATTTTCCTAGGAACGTATGAAATGAGCGTAATTCTTGTACACAGACATGTGTGAAGCTCCAGAATTTTACATAAAGAGAGAAGAGGCTTGGGTGGGGTGGAGAAAGAAAGGATGAAACAATTTCATATTAGATTCTAAAATAGAAGGGACATGTTATACTTTTCATATAGTGATTTTGGTTACTTCCAGATCTCTACATTTTTGTAAACATATATACGTAGATGGATAGGAAAACTATCTTGAAATGCCTATACTATCTCTTTCCCCAAAAAAATGTCAAACAAACAGATATTGCCTTCAATGCTGTAAATTTCCTCTATGCATGATATTTTATTATGAGACATTACTCAAACTGGACCTTTTAATTTGTGATGAGCCCATAAAGCATCCTTGTAAAATTCTTTAATTTCCACAAGAGATACTATCAAATTTAGAGATTAAGAATGCATAATATCATAAAATTCCGAGGATAAATTAAATCATGTTTGTGTTTTACCTAGTAGCCAATTGAGATGGATTCTCAAATTATTCATGTTGGAACTTTCATTTTTGCAACTTACCCTTGACTTGAGTATGTCATTCTTGTGGTACCTATTATATGCAATTTCAGTATATTTTTTTGGTTGCAACATTGAAACAAGCCCGATTTTCATTAAGCTCAAAGAAACAGGGCTTTTATAAATCTATGCACCTTATTCAACTGGGATTATGAATTCCTTCTGCAGCAATCTTGGTGATACTATTTATTGGGTATTAGAATTTAAGGTTATTCATTGCCAATTTGCTTACATCTTTTAGGATGAATGAGTAGGTTCAGTTGAAACATAACTCTTGGTTTCTAGTAAAGCAACAATATAAACCAACAAAAATTTTGTCTCTTTTTTATCTTATTTGTGAGTTTTTATCCAAGGTTTATGTGTTATTTGTAATGCTACTTTCTAAACTGGTGATTTATATTTTCTGGCATATAGGTATGAAAAGGAACTGACGCATCCTATTCAAAATCTTCTAAGTGGAGAGCTTGCTCGTGCTTTACTTATCCAGGTATTAAATGCTAGTTTAATATGAGATCTTTTCTTGTAAATTTAGTCGTGTTATATAGCGGGTTCTCTCCATTTCAGGTTCAGAAGCTAAAACTGGACATTGAGACGTGAGTTCACGAACTTGTACCTTGGATAGGTAATCATGTTTTCTGGTTTGCTAATTACCTTAATCTTTGAACAGGGCAATGCTTGAACTGAATCAGATTCTCAAGGCAAATGAAATAAACTTTGCTATTCTAGCTGCCTTGCCAGCATTTTTTCTCTCTCTCATTCTTCTAATGTTAATACGGGCATGGTTTAAACAGGTAAGATAATAGTTTATCTCTGTTTTTTTTTTTTTTTTTTTTTTTTTTTTTTTTTTTTGCAGTGGTTTAGAAACGGGTAATGATAATAGTCTTATTCTCTGTTTTTTATATTTTTTTTGTTTTTTTTTTTTTTTTTTTTTTCAGCGTTTTTTTTTTTTTTTTTTTTTTTTTTTTTTTTTTTTCACGGCTATTGCCTGAATTGAATCAACTGTTCTGTTGGTTAGTATAGGACATTATGGTAGTGTAGTACACTGTACTGGCTAAATGTACCTGTATTTTCTGTTCAGGCTGTCTACTCAACTTAAGACGATGCCTATGCTTACATGAGTTAATTGATCATATTTTGCTCCTTTTATGTATTGTTTTGTGGTTGAGTTGCTTTATGTAACAAGTCATGTTTGCTTTATCAACAAAGTGGATACATTCTTATTGATGGTCTATGCTCGGGCCAAATATTCCTTGGCATCATAAAATGCTATTTAAACATTATGCTACTTCAAAGAAAGGTGAATGAGGTAAATTTATGTATATCAACTGTCTCTTCCCTTTCTTGTCAACTTGTAAAATATTGTCACTAAAATGATGATTCTGAAATGGTGGAAATTATTGGAATTGAAAATTTTGTTGGGTGAATTATTATTCAATATTTGTACATATTTAGTTTTTTAGTTCTTTTTTTAATTTGGTTCTAATTTATTTGAGCCACAATTTTTGTTATGATTAGTGGAGTTCAGTGCCTTTCTTCTAAAATTTAATCTATATGGTAGAACTTGTTTATTTCTATATATTATCTCATTCTTGTGACTTTTGAATAATTGCGAGAAATTGAATAATCCATTGCATTTGCAGAATTTGGATTCATGAACCCTTTTCACATTAAAATCAACAGATTGTGCTAACAGATTTGAGCATAGGCAATATTTATGTCTTTTCTGTAATGGTGATGAAAATCTATAAAGTGTAATTTCAGGTCTGTCGCATTATTGATTGTTTTTATGCTACAAATTTTTTTGGTTCCTTAAATTAGGATACTAAAGCAGAAGGAAGAGGGAGAGTTGCCCGACGCCAAAGGAGGCTACTCTTGGTGGAGGTCGAGAAAAAGATTATGCAATATCAAACATTTGTTGATCAAGGACTGGTAAGAAACTTGATATGTTATTTGATCCTTCTTCCTTGTTCTTACTTGTTTGTTAACCATTTAACCTTTTGAAATTCCTGCTCTGTGAATTAGTAGAGTTGAAAGACTCATTCCATCGCATTGTTCTTTCAATAATGTTCTTTCTTTAATTCCTTGCTTTTTGGAAAGGGGAAAAGTGATGAGATAGCTGTTTCATGATCAGTCGGGAGTACTTACGAATTTCTCCATATTTCAACTTTTTTCGGTTTTTTTTTTTTTTTTTTTTTTCGGGAGTACTTAACGAATATTCTCCATTATTTCAACTTTTTTCTGTTTTTTTTTTTTTTTTTTTTTTTTTTTTTTTTTTTTTATCATGTGTACTTTTAACTGTATATGTGAGCATCATTGTGGATATGACAGCTTACCTTTATGATTGCCTTCCACACAGCAAATTACAGCAACCTAAATAGCTGTTCTCTTTCATTGTCTAGACTTTGAAGTGAGGACTACCCATGTTCCAAATCACCCTTTTACCATTTGGCCCAAGGGCTGTTTGAATTCTTCTTTACCACCTTTACCAACAGTAAGGGATAATTGTAGCTTGCCCGAGCATGTCACACATTGGACTTGCAATTTTAGTCATCTCAGCTGATGAGCGTGCAACAACATTTGTCAGTTGGAGCATGATCTGATTTTCTGATTTCATTGTAGGAGCAGAATGGACTTAGCGGCCAGTGTTTAAGAACCCATCCAATTTGGCAGGGATAATTTTGAAATAATTGAGACTCATCTGTACTGAAATAAGCCTAATTAATTAGAAAGTGTAAAAGTGTAAGTTTAGACTTACTGCATGCCGAATTGTTTTTCTCTTGAAATGACACATGCGTGAGAGAGAGAGAGAGAGAGAGAGAGAGAGAGAGAGAACAAGAAGGGAGGATAGACATAATTGAAAAAAATTAGAGGAAGTGATTTGTAATCCTTCTTTTTTTTTTTTTTTTTTTTTTTTTTTTTTTTTGAGATCTTCAGGAAAAGAAGTCGCATTGCATGTTTGGGATTGGTATTATACAGTTTAGATCGCGCTGTTTGCAATGCTGGTTGAGGAGGCACGCAAAAGCAACTGGTGAAATGGCATGGTTGGTAATACTTGGTCTGCAGTGATGATTATTTTAATTTCAATGTCTTTTTTGCTTAGAGAAGGGTAAGGGGGTTTTTATGGTCTTTTTTTTTTTTTTTTTTTGAATCTTTCAGGAAAAAGAGTCGCATTGCATGTTTGGATTGGTATTATACAGTTTAGATCGCCTGTTTCATGCTGTTGAGAGGCACGCAAAAGCAACTGGTGAATGGCAATGGTTAGTATACTTGGTCTGCATATTATTTTAATTTCAATGTCTTTTTGCTTAGAGAAGGGTAAGGTTTATGGTCTTCTCTGGAGCTAACTTCCGGTGGTGTTTTTTTTTTTTTCCGTGGTCCAGTTTGAGACAGGATATTATTGATCTGGGAAAACCGAGAGTTCAAACCTCGTATAAACTTGTAGTGACATCACGAATGGAGCGTGTCTATGAGTGCTTGCTTCCTTCATTAAAACAACAATAGCTTTCTTTCTTTTTCTTTTCCTATGAATTCTACTGACCATCATAGTGAAAAGTAGGAAAAGCCCCAACTAATTTTGCTGCAAATTTCAGTTTTTTAAGGAGCATGTGCTCATCAAGTCGTACAGTTGGTTCCTTTACAAAGGTAAATCTCTCGGTTGGTTATTTCTGGTCCACATCTGCTTTCACATTTTGCTTAGGAGTTTCGGTTACCATAATCTTTGTAATCTTGTATCAAGATTATTCTATCGAAAAGTAGAAAAGAAAAATCAGATTATAGACCGATTCATTGTCGGCCTCATGTTTTTTAATCCCTTCATAGCTTCTCAGTGAGCAACATCTGATTTTGTGTTGTAATGTATATGCAAGTAAGTTTCCCACTGTGTGTACCGTTACCCCTCCCCCTTTATGTGAGAGACGTGAGGTTTTTGGGTGACAAAGGACCGACTTTTCACATGTCATGCGTTATAACTAGGGGTTGTACTTTAATCGGAATATTTCAATCCAAACTGAAATTTGGATTATGGAATGTAGTTTTTAAAATATTGGGATATAGAATATGAAATGGAAATTAAAAATAAAATTTCATGTTCTGAATTTTTATTTTATTTTCTTTAATTTATAATTATATATTTGAAAATAAAATATTAAATTAAAATTAGCATAAAATATCTTTAATTCTTCTTTTTTTTTTGAAAAAAAAATTATATTTAATTCTAAAACTAAGTAGTTTAATAGAATGTTTTAATTCTAAATCTAATTAGTAATTAATATATATGATGTATTTGAATACTCATATATACTTTCTTGACTTGAAAATTATGATTTTTAGTTATAATGTCTTATTTTTTATTAGATTATATGGTTTGAAATATTTTAATATACTTATAAACATGTAAGACTAAATGTTTTGATTTTTAGTTATATGTGATATTAATTTATTATTTTTAAAATTTAAATATGTTTTTTTAGTATGTATAAATAAAATTATGGTGATTATTTCTTGTTAATTTAAAAAATATATATAATATATTAGATTTGTATTTGGTTAAGAAATTTGAAAAAAACTGAATTCCAAATGGAATTGCAATGGAATGATGTAGAATAAAATTTTAAATTCTAAAAAATATTTGAAATGGAATGAAATTTCAAATTCCAAAATATTTTGGAATAAATTGAAACTAAGGGTTATTTCATTCTATTCATATGCACTTCACCCTAGTTATAACGTGAAAGGCAGTTGAAGTGCTTTTATCCTGTTGTCGTAAAGTGACTGACCTGAACCCTGAATAGATAGAAAATTGATCTTGGAAACCAGACTATTACCAATTTTGGATTGGAATAAAATAATTTATCACTAGAAATTTTTTTTTTAAACTAAAAACGACAATTTTTTTTTTCTTGTTAATTGGAGATCAACTAAAAAGAATTTCTTTTAGATTTGTCAGTGTCAGAAAAATTTTATTATTTCAACTTATACAACTATAAAAATACTTAAAAAAAAACTCTTTATTTTTAAATTTATTGTTGAAAGGGATGAAAAGTAAGTCTGAAATAGTAAATTATGTTCAATTTTTCTTCCAACAACAAAAATTATTTGATGTTATCCCACTCGAGTCGAGTGCTATAACACTCGAACTTTGTCGACACTTTGAACTCCACTTGATTTTGAGTCGATCTCAAATAATTTATGAAGAGCTTGATTTAAAAGTAATTTTAGTCTAAATTTTAATTTCCCCAAAAAAAATATTATTTCCAAAAAATAATTGAGTCTTAAATGAAAAATTACAAAATCATCAGGTTAATAGTTTAACATTTTCCAGCATGTCCCTTTCTCTGGTCCGAACGGTTGATTGAAACTTTAAGAGGAAATTTAGCGCGAAACCCAAACGGTGCCGTCTGGCCCCCGAAGGAAGGATAATCTGGCCAACACCTTACCAACCAAAAAAATTAAAAAAAATAAAAAAATAAAAATCAGTAGACCACTAACCTTTTGGCTTCTTCCTTGACGTTTCAAAGCTCATACTTTCAACTGTTAACACTGAAGAATTAAAACATAAACAGACTATTGTCTGTGGTAGGTGGTGATGATGATGATGGATGGTGCCGTTTTCAAACTCCCGTCGTTTAAGTTCCTACGCCCTAACTCCTCCCCGCCCGCCACCACTAAGAGTCCTGTGGTTATCCGGTGCGGATTAACTAGATTATCTTCTTCTTATTCTTCTTCGTCTGCTATTCAGGCAATAGCTACAACTGGCAGAGAAGGCGATCAGGCGCTTGGTTCCCTTTCTCTGGGTCATATAACTCGACCTGATTTCCCCATCCTCCACCAGGTAACTCTCTTTGCCTACCGTTTCTTCTCTCTTTTTATGTGGAGTTGCTGTTATTTACTCGAATAAATTCTCAGTCGAATCAATGGTGAAATTTTGTTTGTATATTCTTTATTTAATGGGCTTTTATTAGATTTTCATTATAAAAAAGGGATAAACTTTTCTATCTCGGTGTTGATATATGTACGTATGTTTAGTAATTAGGGTTTGTGTGTGACTTCTGCAGGAGGTAAATGGATCAAAACTTGTCTACTTAGACAATGCTGCAACTTCTCAGAAGCCTAATTCTGTGTTGAGGGCTTTACAGAACTATTATGAAACTTATAATTCAAATGTTCATCGAGGAATTCACTACCTAAGGTGGAAATTTACTAATTAGAGATTCATGTGTTGGGTTTTTTTTTTTTTTTTTTTTTTTTTTTTCTGTGTTGAGGGCTTTAACAGAACTATATGAAACTTATAATCAAAGTTCAAGACGAGGAATTCACTACCGTTAATGGAGGTGGAAAATTTACTAAGTTAGTAGATTGCATGTGTTGGGTTTTTTTTTTTTTTGTTTTTTTTTTTTTTTTTTTTTTTTTTTTTTTTTTAAAGTAATTTTTTTTTTTTTTTTTTTTTTTTTTTTTTTTAAAGTAATTTTAATTTAAATGTTTCCGTTTGAATATAGTGCAAAAGCAACTGATGAATACGAGTTGGCTAGAAAAAAGGTGGCTGCTTTTATCAATGCGTCTGACTCCAGAGAGATTGTCTTCACCAGGAATGCTACTGAAGCTATCAATTTGGTAGCCTACTCCTGGGGCCTTGCAAATTTAAAACCAGGAGATGAGGTCTGTTTTTATACTTTTGGCATCATTTATCTTGTCTCTCTTATTATCTTTGAACCTTTTTATTTTTGGTAGATTACATGTTATTCTGTGAAATTCTTTTTGCTAAGGTCAATAAAGTTGAAATTTTCATTTGGTATTTGTTGGGGCCAGAGACTTTTTACCTGGAAAATTTTGTAGTTTTTTCCTTGGTTGTTACTGAGCCACTTGGAAGCTGAAGCTAGTAAATAGTTTGGCCTTGTTTGATGAATTGACTTCTGGGTACAGTGTCAAAGGCATTCAGCTTGGTACTCCATGCCTGATCTTCTTAAACTTTCTTCCTCCTCTCTTCCATAGGAAGAGAAAGAAGGGGGAAGAGAAAAGGATAATGAAGTGGGCTCGAAACAACCACTCTAAGCATTATTTTAGTGGGGTTAATTGCATAAACCTTCTATATAATAATGCTGGTTTCCCCTGAAATAATTGTGTAACAATGTAATTGGTTTTTCTGTTTTCTATCAAGTAAAATTTTGTTGTTAACTTTTTGCTGTTTAAGTGTGGTAGCTTGCTGCTGTTGCAACAACATGCAGATGAACCTCTGCTCAGTATGCAATGCAGTTTGAGAGGAAGTTCTGACTTTATTCAAATAGACGGAACCCCTTAGCAATTTAGGGATACGCCCTAGGATGTTTGTATTTGCCGTTTAATGGTATGATGTATGAAGACTTAGTAATCTAAAGCCCAATCTTGTGAACCACTGAGCACCTGAGAAATATTTAGAAGCTTGCAGTTTAATCATGGGAGAATTACTGATGTCTTTGGTGGAAATAAGCTCCTGCTCTTTTCATCAAATCAAAATCATAATCATAATCAAATAATTAGTGATTTTGATTTAATACTTAATTAGATCATTTGACCATTACAATACCATGGTCTTTTTGTTAGAATCAGATCTCAAGTAACTAACATTACATTAATATCTTTTGCTTTCTAGGTTGTAGTCACAATTGCTGAACATCACAGTGCGATTGTTCCTTGGCAACTTGTAGCTCAAAGAACTGGTGCCCTTCTCAAATTTGTAAATTTGAATGAAAATGAAGTTCCAGATGTACAGCAGTTAAAAGAAGTGATCTCACAGAACACAAGACTTGTAGTTGTTCACCACATATCAAATGTTCTTGGTACATTTCTTTACTTTAGTAATTTTCTGCTGATTTTTTTTTTGGTCTTCCCATCAGTCACCTTATTCTAAGGAAAGCTATATGCCTTTTGTGCCTGCAAATTTATCTGATTATTTTCAGTGATAACTGTTATTGTTTAAACTCTGATATTTTTTCCTTGTTACTCATGATCATGAAAGCCCAAGGAAACTTATTTCACATGTTACAAGCAACTTAGGATACCGAGGATTAAGAAATCAATGCCCTCTGATCTTTTATTTTATTTAATATCCCTGGATATTTTTCCCATATATACTTCAGGAGGATGTTTGGAAGGAGACGTCTTGTTTAATTATTCTCTATTATCTTCATGTTTTCTCGTTTTGAATGAGAATTGGATGGATTTGAATTTTATTTTGTGCTATCTAAATGATATAGATGCAAGGGACTTGACTTGATTGTTTAGTAGTCTTATTTATAGCTATTATTCTTCGACACTATACAAAGCCACAGAGGGGTCCCTTCTAGACTAATTTTTTCATCCACTTTGACTTTCTACTTTTAAAGTTTTAGAAAAATCAATATATGGAAGTTTCATTACACTTTTTGATGAATCCATAATTCAATGTGGTGATCCATGTATTAGAGGCTATGAATGAAATCAGCTAAAAGCCTTAGAAGTTAAATTTAATGAAAAAATGCATGTCAAAAATCCAGGAAAAAGAAATTCTCTACATTATGGTTAATGATCTATGATATGCTTTTCCTATAGCTTCTTTCCTTCCTATTGAAGACATAATCGAGTGGGCACATGATGCTGGAGCAAAAGTACTTATAGATGCTTGTCAAAGTGTACCGCACATGGTGGTTGATGTCCAGAGGCTCAATGCTGATTTTCTTGTTGCTTCCTCTCACAAGGTTAGGTTCTTTTCCATGCATATCGCAATATAAGCTTTAGGCAAGTATATGAAGTTAAGAAATAATCATGCTCCAGATGTGTGGGCCCACAGGCATTGGCTTCTTGTATGGTAAAAGTGATATCTTGTCCTCAATGCCTCCGTTTTTGGGTAAGTTCTTACTTTTATTCTACTTATTTTTTTTCTTATCCTGGATTTTGATTCTTCATTGCAATACCTTTTTTAAGAATATACATTGATGTTGGGGTTTTTGCTTTCCTAGGCGGTGGAGAAATGATCTCTGATGTATTCTTAGATCATTCTACTTATGCAGAGCCTCCATCAAGGTTGGTGGACTTTTTTGCTTGTTGATATATAGTGTCTTAGAACTGAATGAATGCAAATAGAACACTATCATCAGGACTTAATTTTTTTCTGGCATATAATCAAGTCCCATGGAACTAGCAATTGACAATTATATACTGTGAATTTAGTGTTAGATTTTAGAATTGAAGGCTCTTGTAAATCTATTTGCAACATAATGAAATATACCTGCGAAATGTATATAAATTCTTACGTAATGATATATGATGTTCACTTGCTATTTTCAACAATTAGATGCTCTTTTTTTTAAGTAAATATCACATGTTTTCCATATGCTGCACCAAATTAGAGGTTCAAATTCAAACTATGTTTCTCACAGAACGAGCTTCGGATAACTTTTATTTTTGGTTAGCCTAGCAATTAATAATTAGCAGGACCAAACAATTCAATTGTGGTAGTTGCTGAACCATACCACATAGTTCTGGCAGCAACAAAAGCTGCAAAAAAAGACTGCAGATTCAAAATAAGTAAATAATTATGTGAAAGTACAAAAATAAAAAATAGGAGCAATTAACTGTGACTATTCTCTGGAATCAGAAGAACTGAAGAGAACATAAAGAATCCTGCAGTTATTGCTCTGGCTTACCTGATGAAAGATGTGCTATTCGGCTCCCTAAAAACATTATAATCATCCTTCCATTGTTATTTTATGTATCCGTTATTGCATCCTCAATTTCAGGTTTGAACCTTCATGCATATTTTTGCCTATATATGGATCTTTTTACTGAGATCTACATGGCTATAAAGCCTGCCAGTTGTATTTTCTTCACACTAAGGAAAATTCTTGATCAGGATGGCCATGCTGTATTTAATTGTCTGGTGAAAATAACTACTTGAAACACTAGCCATTTGGTTATATTTTGGGTCAAGATACTTGTTATGTGCTGTTATGAAATTAGTGCTTTATTTTCTAATTTGCTCTTTTATGGGTTAGATTTGAGGCAGGAACTCCAGCAATTGGAGAAGCAATTGGGCTAGGAGCAGCTATTGATTATTTGCTAGGAATTGGCATGCAAAAGATTCATGACTATGAGGTGAGCTGCGTTTTTCTTCCATTTGTATTCAAATATTTGACATTAATTCTAATAAAGACCGGATTAATTCATGCTATATGAATGACTTTTAAGAATTCTATTGTTACTACTGCAGCAAGTCATGTTGCTTTCTCGTCTTTATGATCATCCAAGTTGGAATCCTTTTATTTGAAATAAAAATTGCTAATATTGTGTCAATGTGGGAGATGTCACCAGGGACAAAAAAAAAAAGAGAAATAAAGGAAAAAAAAAAAAAAACTGGAGAAGAAGATGGGCATATTTAAGTTGACAGTATTTTGGAATTTTGGTCCTCTGGAAGAGACGAGTAAATATCAAACCTTGTCCTTCACAATCTTTCTGTGTGTTGTGAGGGTTCAATGCACTGGGCTGGTTCTGGAGAAGCAATAAAGTATTGTATCTTGTTTACTGTCATAATGGGGATATGTTGAGTGAGAAGGACTTGACATCTGCAGAGGATATTTCGGGTGGCATTCATATAGATATGCTATTTATACTTAAGTCATCACATTTTATTTATCATCTTTAAGCTGGCCACTAAGCATTCTTAATCTTAGATTGAAGAAATCTTGATGCATGACTAAAGATGATATGGTCTAGAGTTGATAGGGTTGTGGGAGAATGCAATTCTGCAAATAAGGCAGCCAATTTATACAAGCATGTTACATATCCCATGAGTAAAATTTCTTAACATTATAATCAGCATAACTGTTTATTTACATACTGATTTTCAGATGGAATTGGCTAATTATTTATATGAAAGCCTCTCTTCTGTCCCCAATGTTCGTATTTATGGCCCAAAACCTTCAGAAACCGTTCACCGTGCTGCTCTCTGTTCTTTCAATGTTGAGGGTATTCACCCTACAGATATTGCAACTTTTCTGGACCAACAGGTATAAGGCCTTATTCTTAGTACTACTACTCTTTTCATTTACATCCATTTTGTAGATAATGCACTATAAAAGATTCTCAAGGCATAACACCAGATCCAAGAAAACTTGTGAGAGTTTGTTGAAAATGACTTTATCTTGGGTGACAGCTAACACTATTAAATCTCAGCATGGAGTGGCTATCAGATCAGGTCACCACTGTGCCCAGCCTCTTCATCGGCATTTAGGAGTAAATGCGAGTGCACGTGCTAGTCTACATTTCTACAACACTAAAGAAGACGTTGACGATTTCATCCAGGCATTAAATGACACCATCAGCTTCTTCAATTCTTTTAAGTAGACTAATCTTTTTGTTCTTCTCTGATAGGCAATAACTGCTCATATTATACTCAGTAACCTCATACGACTGTCCTTTTTGTTCCTGTTGTGTTAAAAATCCGTTTTGCTTGCTCTTTTTTGGCAACTGTTGTACAATAACCAAAATGTGTAAATTAAAATCATTATTTGAATCCATTACAAGAGTATACACTATTGAGATTTAATAAAAGGGTGGAAATTTCCAGGATTTTAATTAATTTTGTAAGCGAATCCCAACTTTGTTTTGTTATTATAAGGGTTATGCCTGAAATATTTTGTTGCACTTGTTTGTCGGCCAAGAATTTGCAGATTGTATGGAATTTTAAAATCTGAGCTTGTGCACATCCAAGGAATGATATGTCGAACTATATATTGGTCTGTTTGGCATTGAGAAGTTTAAATTGCTGAGGAAAACATTGTTGAGGATTTTAATTAGGTACCATTAAGAATTCTTGTTAGGTAAATTTTTTACATATATATCAATTTTAAGAGTTCAAATCAGCAAAGGTGTTTTCTTGAATTGGAGTTTCCAATGCGCGCGCTCACACATAAATTACATGCACGGAATATTTTTTTTTTTTTTTTTTTTTTTTTTTTTTTTTTTTTTTGGATGATTATAAAATTTAGTACGTGGATTTTATCTTTTTTTCTCGTGACAGCGTTTAATTTTTGTCTCTTTTTCTATTTTAATTGTCGCAATTTTACTTTTCATTTACTAATCTCAAAAGTGTTTAACCTACACTACTATATACTACCACCTCACTATCAAATCGCTATGTGTATGTGCTCACGATTACTAACACTACCGCATGTGACTGAAATTTCTTGCAAAAATTAAATGGAAATTAATTATTTATTTTATTTTTTTTTTTTTTTTTTTTTTTTTTTTTTTTTTTTGAGAATGGGGATGATTATAAATTTAGTACGTGGATTTTATCTTTTTTTTTCTTAAGCGTTTTAATTTTTGTCTCTTTTTTTATTTTAATGTCTCAATTTTACTTTTCATTACTAATTCAAAAGTGTTTATAATAATAAATATTTTACATTAAATACATGTGACTGAAATTTCTTGCCAAAAATTAAATGAATAATTTTTATTTTATTCTTTCATTTGATTTATTTTTAAAATTATTATCTGTTTCTCTTGTTTCACTTTTTCTTTTTGTATTGATTTTATTCTGGAATAAAAAAAAAAGAATCCTTTAATTTTTTTAAAAAAATATAAAATAATAAAAATTGAAAAAAAAAACTGAAAAAAAAAGATTATTCTAATGGATGTTTACATGTTATATAATTTATCAAATAAAGCCATTTATGTACTTAATTGAAAAGAATTTATCCTTCGAACACTTAATTGGTAAAAATTAAAATTTAGAAAGAAACTAATAAAATTCGGACGCCGTAAGTGTTTTGACTTTCCCTCTTCTTGCCTGCAACTGCAAAATTACCAACTCCAAAAATGTCGCCAACCACTGCAAGCTCCTCCACCAATATACTTGATTTTGTGGTGCATAAGGCCAATGGCTTAAAGGGTTTAGTTGATACAGGTCTTGAATCTATTCCTCATCAGTATATCCAACCACAAGATGAAAGATTGAATACAAGCCAAATCCTCATATCCCAAGAATCTATACCCATCATTGATGTCTCAAATTGGGATGACCCACAAGTTGCAGAATCAATTTCTCAAGCAGCAAGCAAGTGGGGTTTCTTTCAAATCATCAATCATGGGATTCCATTAGAGATTGTTGATAATTTAAAGGATTCTGGTCACGGGTTCTTCAGTTTACCAAATGAAGAAAGAAAGAAGTATTGGAAAGGAAATTCCTCAACTGATACTGTGTTTCTTGCAACTAGTTTTAGCCCTTTAACTGAAAAGGTATTGGAATGGAAAGACTATCTCAGCTTTCATTACATCCCAGGAGATGAGAAATCTCCCTCATTGTGGCCTCCTATATGCAAGTAAGAATCCTGAAACTCTGTATTTATTACTTGCTTTAAGAGTATTTCACTGTGTCTGGATTTTTGAATTGATTATGTAAATCAAATTTATAAAATTTGTGCACGATTTATTCGGGTTGCAACTTGTGCTGATCTTTTGTGACTAGTTTTATTATTAGTGCTTAATCATTTCCTGGCCTGGGTTAGTATAACTAATGCTGGTTTTGTAAAAATGGATGTGTATAGGCCATGATTCTTCAGCTTTAGACATTCATTTCCATTCCCATTTCATTTCTGAGACAAACCAAACATGCATTGAAATCATAGGAAATTCCAGAGATAAGATTGACTAAAATTGAAGTCTAGTAACCACATTAAAATTTGGTGGAAAGTTTTCAGCGATTATCTACAGCCCATATTACCCATCTAGCCTGAGATAAATTGTATTGGTATATTTTATACTCTCTTAACCAATTGCTAGATTAGTATTATTATTTTAGTTAGTAATATAGATAATTGATATTCGCAAATTTGGAAATGACGTGTGCCTTAGTGAAAGACTTTTTCCTGCAGTAGAATATCTTTTTTTTTTTTTTCTTTTTTATGACTCCGTTCACATTTTGTAGAGGAAAAGTTGGAAAATATATATCAAAGAGGAGTTATCTTTAAAATAGTGTAGTTCATGAAATGCTGAGAGATCAAAAGGTATATGATGTCCATTGAACTTTTAAAGTTCATCTCTTCTGTAATTACACGATTAACTGGGAAAAATATGTATGTATAAATATGGACTTATCAGTGTTTTGCCTTAGGGATCAAGTGCTTGATTACATGAAGAGAGCTGAACTGGTTATCAAAAGGTTGTTAGAGCTGCTATTGAAAAAACTCAATGTGAAAGAGATTGACAAAGAAAGAGAATATGCCTTAATGGGTTCACTAAGGATTAACATGAATTACTATCCTCATTGTCCTAATCCTGAACTTGCAGCCGGAATAGGCCGTCATTCTGATGTATCATCCATCACAGTCCTCCTACAAGATGACATTGGTGGGCTTTATGTTCGAGGAATAGAAGAGAATAGCTGGATTCATATCCCACCTGTTACTGGAGCACTAGTTATCAACATTGGAGATGTACTGCAGATAATGAGCAATGACAGATATAAAAGCATAGAGCATCGTGTAATTGTCAACGGAAGCAAGAACAGGGTTTCAGTTCCTATCTTTGTCAATCCAGGACCTCATGCTCTAATTGGACCTTTACCAGAAGTTCTAGGGAGTGGAGAAGCACCAAAATATAAGTCAGTTCTCTATTCGGATTACTTTACTTATTTCTTTAGCAAGGGTCATGATGGGAAAAACACTATTGACTTCGCCAAGATATGATACTGATCCTTGTGCTTCTACGCTCTTGCAAGTAAGAAAGCAGTAGTGAGATTGTCATTCTGTTGTATACTCTGTTAATGCCAGGAGAGACTGTATGTTTAGGTGTGGACCTGTTTGGGAGCCAAGCTGTTGGCCTGTAGGTTGGGTAGGCTGAGCCTTTTGAAATTGACACTTTTGAAACTCGGGATTGTCTCATAAACATGTCTGGAGTTAGGTGCCTGGCTGGATCATTCATTCACTTTTGCCGTTCGAGCTTTAAATTCTCTTCCATCCTGTACTACTTCTTTTGATCACTTAATGAGCAATAAAATATAAATTTATATAAATGTTATCATACTCTTTACATCGTTACATCTTACAAAATTCAAGGAAATCATAAACTGCAGGGTGGTTGAGAAGTGGCCTAGTAGTGCTAGTATCTGGCTCTGATGATTGACCTGAAACAGAATAAGGAACTTTGAAAATTCATGCCTTGCAGGCAAAGAAGCCTTTTATGTGCCTTCCGAAAAAATTCGACTTGTATCGCATTGAGCAGGCAGACTCCAAGTTTCTCAACACTTGGTTTCTCAAGTCGGAGAATCAGAAACAAAACCAAATAGGAACCAAGTTGATTCGGATTCGAAAGCAAACCTTCCCTACCTGCAGAATGGATTAACTAGTGCATAGAACTATAGAAGTAATTCCTCCTTGCGAGGAAAGATCTGTTATAACCCGCATTTGTCAATAAAGGCTTTCTATTCAAGAACAAGAAAAATTTCACATTTTACAATTATGAGACAAAATTGAGACTGATTTATCGTTCTTCAGTCATTAAAAATACATGGGAATCAATACAGGTAACATAACAAGAAGTAAAATATTAACTCCTAACCATCAAAAAAAGAAAAGGGACTAAAACAAACAAATGATGTGAGCTGAATAGTACACTCATGAGACTTCAGAATTTGTCTTTCCTTGCCTAAGGCCTGATCCAGCATCAATGGTAGCAGCTACCAAAAAATTTGCCCCAACATGTGATGAAGCATAGCACAAAATTTGAGTTGAATCCTCGAGATTCGCAAGTCTTTCCAGCAAAGGACGCTCCCTATTAACTTATTTCTCTTTTCTAGCCAAGGACTCTCCCTTGTACTCACTGCCTGCAGTAACTACAAAACCTGCTCCAACCTGGAATGAAGCATAAAGCATCAAGATGTAAATCAACCAGATGAACTATGCACTTTTTAGAGCATATGCATGGGGGGGTAGGAAGGAGGAAGAGAAATAGAGATTACCTGGCAATCTTTCAATACAACTCGCTCTTGAAGCTGCACATTGCTGCAAATCACAGAACCTTGGATCGAACAGCCATCTCCTACTGTGACATGATTCATGATAACTGAGTTAACAACCTGAAATAACAGAAATCAGAATTATAGCGGTTAAGGTGTCATTTTTTTCTGAATTTACAAAAATAAGGCATTAAATGATAGCCAAAGCACTAACAGTAAGCATTCTAGGCATCTTGCTGTTGTGATAAATAATTTTTCACGTTGCCAACTGAAAAATCACTGTACCTTCACATTGGAACCTATCCGGCAGTGACGACCGATAACAGATCGCTTAACACTACATTTGTCACCCATTTGTGAACCTTCTCCTAGCATGCAATGAGGTCCCACCTAGAGCCATCAAACTACTTTATGAGTATAAAGATATATTCTTCCCAATGGGACGCATAAAGCTATGAACTCAACATGCTATTACAAGCCTTCACAATAAATGAGTGTATCATAACAACTAATAATCCTAGGGTATCAGTCTGAAACTAAGTAAGCTATTTTACAAGCATGGTTGCGTTCATGAACTATTGGACTCACTGTAGTTTTTGATCCAAGCTGTGCCGAAGGATGGATAATGTTGTTATGTGCAGAGAACGAATAACCTGACAGATAATTTGCTTCACCTATGACCTGATTTAAAATTGAAAAAAATTTCAACTGAATTTAGTATTCAAGTAGGAGACAAATATAAAAGTACCATGATGAGCTTCAACTGCATATACTCACATCTCGGTTAATATCACAGAATGCTTGAATAGAATTTAAGCGTGCACAATATTTATTGTTGCTTGCAATATAAGCACAGCATTTATGAGTTCTTCGAACAGGAGCAGAACCATTATGACCCGATGCATAAAGTTCATGAAAGCTTGGTGTAGAAGCATTGGCCAGGATTTCAGATATGATTACATGACTGTTTTGTGAACCAGCCTTCTCATTTCCATTTTCTTCTGATTGCGGTGAGTTATTCAGTAATACCTCCGATTTCTGATGTTTGTTAAATAAATTAAACTATTTTAAGTTTTCTATAACTGCACAAGGAGTTAAAAAATGTAAAACAAAAAGACTTGATTAAACTAACCAGCTGGCTCCGGACAAGATAGGGCAATACATCTTGTTGTAAGCTTTGAAATTTATCTTTTTCATGTAAAACTTCTTGCAAAATAGACCTGAAAGACATCAACAAGGAGAGTTGAGGATAACCGACACATGACAGAAGAAATCTTGGAAACCAAGACAAGTGAAAAGTCAAACCTCTTGAATGCATACATATGAGCATCCATAAGATCAGATTGTATTTCCATCTGAGGAAAAAGGTAAAAGTGAATATAAATAAAAGCAAGAAAAAATTTCCCACTGTTGAGCACATAATATTGAAAATTGAGCCTCCACAGATGCATTACCCTTCATAGAAAAACATTTACTGTACTAGGATGAACAATTATCAAAATGTTACTGAAACCAACACATGCTGATGGGACTTCAATGTTTCCTAATGCATAAAAATTTAAAAAGGAATAGAAGATTTGAATAATCAAACAAAACATTCAGACAAGGATTAATGAACAACAGATGCATGTATACTCTATTTGCTTTAATAATTGATACCATTTGGTTTGAGACACCATGCTGTTCACATATCATTAACTAAGTTTCCCAAATGCCCTAAAGGGGAAAATAACCTCCTATTACCTGCCCTACTGCCTGAAGAATAGTTTTCTGAATTCGAATTTCTTTCTCAACTTCAGCTCCTGCAAGAAGCCCCAAGATGTAGAATGATCGACAAATAAAGAAAAACTACAAACAACACTAACTATTCATAGCCAACCTGTAGCTATATGTAATAAGAACTGTTTTGTCGAGTCCAGCCCAATGATGTTGTATCGTCTTGGTTTCTTTATTTTGTCTTTTCCAGAGGAGGCACCTGACTCTGCAGGTCCACCAACAGGGGCAGAGCAAAGCATTGTAGTCACAACTGCATCATGTCGTCTATGAACAGCTGCAACTGCTCCAGGAGGAACATCAGAAACAAGATCACCAGTCACAACCTGCAAAAAGATAAACCACCAATAGCTATTAATATACAATTGCTGAGAACTCAAACACTGTAGAAGACTTTTGAGTGCTAACCAAGATGTCCTTTGCAGTCAAGTGGCGTGCAATGGCTCGAAGAGCACCAGCTGTGCCAACATCCTCAGGAACTGCAGCAACCTGCAGTATTATATGGAATTTGTCAGTTCTAATATTTTTCAAAAATTTAATTGAGATGAGAGTATTATCAAGCAGTTATGTCCAAGTCAGTAAAAATAAACAATGCAGCATAAAAATTATCATGCCAACAAAATGTATTTCAGAACAAGACATGAAAAACAAGCTTCCACATTTGAAGTTATGTAAAAGGCAAAAAACTTTGACTTTTTCTTGGAGACTAGTGGGGGGTGTATAAATAAATGGAAGTAGTTCTATATGGCTTCTGCGAACAAGTAAAAGAAGCCCCAATGCATCAAGGTTCAAATTCAACTCATCATCGTCTAGATGACCACTGAATTTCCGCTCATGGTCTAATAGAAGCAAAGTACCTGTGCCTCACTATGATGAACAAAATGTTCGCATGCTTAAAAAATAACAGTGAGATTTGTGAGAATACTCAACTGCATTTCTCTACTAACTTCCTTGGAATTGAAAAATCTAGAACCAATGTGATTGAGTAGACCAGCATCAGCTAATCAATAAAGTCATGCCACAAAAGATGTTTGAATATCTAAATTACAATAATGTTAATCTTATATTTAGTTCTAGAATAAAATCTCTTATTATTAGTTTTAGTAGCAAGCTTAAGAACAAATTGGCCAACCAAAAAAAAATAGCATGATATAATAAGCCTAAATCAGGAAACGGTTATCAAATTTATCAAATTGAACTTGAGAAAATTATTCACCAAACATCCAATGAGTAAGCAAGAAAAAGACACATACAACCCTTAAATCACGGGTTTGTGGCCAAAACATTCAAATCTTTGGTCAAATTATCAGTTATAGCTAATACTTGCATTTGTATCAATCATATGCATAATCAATATGGCTGGCAAGTGGCAATCATAACCAGAACTCTCAAATTGCTAATATAGCACTGTGTCTTCTCTATACCTATGCCTGCTGCTCCTTAAAAATGTCATACCGTAAGCTTATGTGAAATTTTTATGAATAAAATATATAGCATGTAAACTATGTAAAAAGATCTTGCATGTCTCCCAAATTTAACTACAATCAACACCAACATTAATGTTATGCATACAATTGAGACAAATTAAAACCTCAAGTGCAATTGCTAAGAGGAACTTTTAAGTCATTAACTGAAAAACGAAATAACCACTCCATGGCACATAATTGGATCAAAATTGCTACCTCTAGGCCATATCTGAATCATCCTCCTTAGTTTTGTAAATTATCAAACCAAAATTAGAATAAGCGTAAATTTCAACTTGAATAGATCTACAAGAGTTGATACTAAATCTATTGTTCCCATTTTTCTTGTTGTTTGGAATGTGCAAAAAATTGTACAAGAGACAGCATGACAAGACAAATCATGGCTACAATAACACTAGGAATAGCCCTATGAACTCTCGACTCTCAGTCTCAACTTTACCATAACTTTTGAACACTGTACTCTTACAATGTGGAGCAGAAGAAACTGAAGCCAGAAAGAGAGGACAGCTCCAAAATAAAATAAAATATACAGCAGTTACATAATGCTAAGGAGTGCCAGGAAGGATCACCTTAGCGCAACAGTCAAGTGATAAGATGTAAGGACTGAGGTGGGATGGGGTGAGGTTGGCATAAGTCCTCGCTGCATTAGCGACCCACCAATTGAGGAAAAATAACAATGTTTATAACTTAATTCTAAGAAGCATAGTTGCTATTGGTTGACAAACTTAAATATGAGCATAGGTATGTAAACCTCTATTAAGATGTACTAATCTGAAACTATTCCTAACCCTTGCAGGATTTGACTCCCAAATAAAACCACAAGCAACATGCTATCATAAGGCAATATAACTCAAATTAAGAAACTAAATATAAAAATAAAAAGTCTGAATATCTGGGTAGATTTTCCAGCAATACAAATTATCTGAATACTCTTTACTACCAGAAAAACAATCTATTTGAATACACACATAAATAAATCTCGAAAGGGACAAGAAAGTACTCTATAAATTATAATATCCCAATTAAAGCCTAGATTAAATTTGGACCATAATTCTAGTTGTTTTAACATCTTTTAATCAGTTAAAGATATGTAGGAATGGTTATTTAAGATAAGCTCTGTAGGAAGAATTCTCCCATTTGATCATTTCACTAACTTATATTGATAATGCATTTGTTTAAGGATAATACAGTACTTATTTAACGAAATAGCCTTAGTTTATCACCATTAATTTTGATGAAAAGAAAGAAACTATAAAAATCAAGCATCATCAAATAAGTTAAAATTATGATCTCTTGTCTCTATCACAAAAGCAGGGTTACAATTCAACGATTGATTTCATGAAAAATAAAATTAAATAATTACCTCAACATGTAGACGATCAACATAAGCACCCGATATCCAACCACCAACTCGAAGGGCTGCATCTTGCCCTTCAACCACCTACCCCCACAATATATAGAGGGGCAAAAAAAGCATTAGAAACCTGAATAAACCCTAAAAACCAATAAAAAAAAACTACAAATACACATTTTCTAATATAACCGTCAATTTTCTTGTCAAATCGAACTCAATTACGCTTTTTTTTTTTTTTTTTTTTTAAATCAAGCATCATCAAATAAGTTAAAAATTATTTGATCTTTCTTGTCTTCATTCACAAAAGCCAGCGGTTACATTCAAACCGATTGATTTCATAAAAAATAAAATTAAAAAATATTACCTCAACATGTAGACGAATTAATATTCCGATATCCAACCTACCAACTCGAAGGCTCGCATTTGACCCTTTTCACCACCTAACACACCCACAAATATATTAGAGGGGCAAATAATTAGCATTAGAATACTCTGAAATAAACCCTAAAAAAACTCAATGAAAAAAAAAACTTACAAAAACACATTTTCTAATAATATAACCGTCGATTCAATTTCTCTTGTCATAAACTCAATTTTACGCTTTTTTTTTTTTGCTTTTTTTTTTTTTTTGTTCTTTCCACTATTCTTTTCTCAAAAAACACCGAAAAAGAATTAGGTAGAAAATAATATCCCCCATAAAGTATATACCACAATAAGATCTTTGAGATTACTGAGTTCCAATTGTTCCAGAACATAAGAAAGAACCGGTCGGTTGGCCACTGGAAGTAGAGCTTTAGGGACTTCCTGCATTCAAAGAAAACCCAAATAAGAAATAAGAATGAGACATTGATTAAAGGAAAAATCGAGGGTTTTATTTTCTTTTCTTTTCTTTTCTTTTCTTCCAAACAGGAGTTTTGAAGGAAGGTGAACAAAAGAAAAAAAAAAAATCCACCTTTGAAACTAAAGGAACTAGTTTCTTTGAAGTGCCACCGGCTAGGACTACCACTTGAAAATCCATCACTGAGAATTATTATTATTATTATTTATGAGAAACAGATGGCTTTTTCTTGAGAAGGGATTTTTATGAATCTTTGAATTGAAAGAATGAAGAGAGGCAAAACGCTGTGGGCTTTATTGTGTTTACTGTTTAGCGTTTGTAGTACTGGAATTTGTTATTGCCATTGGTATTTGGTATTGCACTTGACGAGGACTTCCAACCCTGTGAGGATTACAGTCATTATTTTTTATTAATTATATTTAGATTGTTACAGCGCGGGGATGTAGCTCAAATGGTAGAGCGCTCGCTTTGCATGCGAGAGGTACAGGGTTCGATACCCTGCATCTCCAAGTTGTTTTGACTAAATTCCCAATTTTAGGTTGAAACATTGTTCATGCTATTCATGATTGCCTTTTCTCTCCCATGGAGCCATCTAAGACTTTGTAAATGAGTCAAATTACTCATAACCATTTGAAGTTTAATTTTGAGAAAAGCTGAAGCTTGCTTAATATAAATTTATTGAGTCAAACTCAAGCCAAGCTGTCGAACTTTTTTAGCTTGCGAGCTAGCTCGCGAACACAAAGCAAGCTTGTAATCAATTCTTTAAAGGCTAGTAAGCCAATTCAAAAGTAATGCATTCTTATGCAACAGGTAGGAATTGAAATTCGTTGTAATATCTAAAAATTTCCCCATGCAAAATGATAAAATAACTTAATATTTTGAATATCGAGCACCGCCAATCTTTAATAATTACAGGAATTCATGCAATAGATAGGATTTGAAATTCATTGTAATATCTAAAAATTTTCCCATGCAAAATGATAAAATAACTTAATATTTTGAATATCGAGCACTGTCAATCTTCAATAATTACAGGAATTCATGCAACAGGTAGGATTTGAAATTCATTGTAATATCTAAAAATTTCCCCATGCAAAATGATAAAATAACTTAATATTTTGAATATCGAGCACCGTCAATCTTCAATAATTATAGGAATTCATTAATTTTTAATTAAATATATAAACAAAACTATCATCTAAAGCTAAACAAAGACGAAAGAAAATATGGAGTGGGAATAAACTTTACTTGTGCGGCTCTCTCCCTCTCTCTTTTTCTCTCAAAATCTAAAACCTAAAATTCTCTTTTCTTCTTCTACGAACGGCCATCGGTGAGCTCTCACCGATCACCAGTGGTCACCCCTTTCTTTTTTGTTTGTTGTTTTTGCAAATAATTCTCAGATCTATTTCTGGATTTGAGTTATTGTCGCCCAAATATTGAGATTTATTGTTGCCCATATTTTGAAATTTTGTTCTTAAATTTAGTTCTGAGTTATTGTGCCCATATTTTGGGATCTTATTCTCAGATTTAGTTCCAAGTTATTGTTATCACCATTATGGTAATTTTGTTTAACATCTTTTATTATTTGAATAGTTGTGCAGAAAGAAATGCAGATTTTCTCTACAATAGAAGAAAGAAATTTGAAGGTAATTAGATCGAATTTATAGAAAGACCATGGAGTCAAACAATGGCCATTAATAACCACCAAGTGGAGCAATTGCCTATGACGCAAATATTATGCTATGTCAACTCGATCAGATACTTCAAATCAAGATTGTGTTTTTTTATTCTTTGTATAAGTGGTTTATTATTAGACTTCCTATACAAAAATATAAAAATATGTGGTTTATTATTAGACTTCCTATACAAAAATATAAAAATATTGATCTGTATCCTATATCTGTATACAATTTCCAATTAATGAAATTTCTAGTTTGATTTTTCTAAAAAAAAATAAAGAAAGAGAAAAGAAATAAATGAAAAGAAAGGGGAGATAAAAAGGGATTGAAAGGATAATAAGTGTCGGGTTTCATTTAATTAAATATTAATAGATGAATAATCTAAAATAAGGGAAAAGATTTACTTGTATTTTGGTTTATGAATCTACTTATAAATTAAATCACTATGAATATTATTTTGATTCATACGAGGCTATTTTCGACCGTAAATTGGAAAAGAAATAAAACAATAACGTTATTTTAAAAAATTCATTTTTTATTGGGGGTAATATCCCATACATCACGTGTATACATGTCTTATCCTAAAAAAGAATAATACAAAATAGGCAGCTAAAACCCTAACTAAATAGAAAGTAAAGTCCTCGCTAAAATGAAAACCTAAATCTAATACAGTTTAATTATAAGATACTTAGTTTACAGGACATTTTTTAATTAGTTGATAGTTGATATGGGTGAGCAACGGTCGGATCGGGTCAAATCCGATCCAAAATACCCGAAATGAGAGGGAATGACTTTACTGACCCGACCCCTTTAAGAGTTCAGGCTCCACCCGAATAACCCCTATAAATATGGAATCGGGTATTCGGGGCCGGTTTAACCGGATCTTCAATTAAATATATTTTATGGCTTGGATACTTTTTTAATATGGCTCTTGCACAATTAAAATTTTATTTGGATCCTACACAATTAAAAAAGTTATCTAAAAATATAATTGTTGACCAAACAATCATAATAAAAAAATTATAAAACAATAGTCAAACCATAATCAACATCAAACATTTGTAATGAAAAAATCATAACACAATCAAACCAAACTAATCACAATCATCCAAGCCATAATTTTCCATCTTAAATCATAACCAAATCATAGCAAATTAAAAAAGTCCTAATTAAGTATTTAACATACATATAGAAATAAAAAAATATGAAAACTTAAAAATTATATTTTTAGTTGCTCAAGAAAAAATACATGTCATCTTCAAGAAAAAATTAATTTTGATTTGGAATTTTTAATTTTACATGCAAAAGAAGAAAGAAAGAAGAGTGAATCACATCAATAAATTAAAAAAATTTAATATTTTTATTTTTCAGGTCAAATCGGGTTAAACTAGGTATTTAACCGATCCACCCGACCTGAATAAGGATATATCCCTCAAATTGTCTAACCTGACCTCACCCAAAAAATCCATTATAATTCTATATTTTCGGTCGGGTCGATTCGAGTTTTTTGGATCGGCTCGGGTTTTGCACAGGCCTAATAACTGATAGAAGTCTCAATCAGCTATATTTTGGAATTTTTTTGTATCAGCTACTACTGATTTATATTTATATTATATAATAGGTGAAGGCCCACGCTTTTAGGCGGATTGTTTTGATAGTTTATAATTCATAAATACATATTAAAAAATTATTTTTTCTGTGAATTACTTTATTGTTAAATATTTTATTTTATAAATTATATTAAGTATGTTAGTAAGAGATTTACTTTTCCGCAGATTACTTTATTAAATTATAATGTCATTAATTTATTTTAAATAATTATAAAATTCGAAGAATTCTAGATTTTAGTTAAAATTTATAACTCAAAGAGCATCTTATCAACTAAAATTTTATAATCAAGTTAAAGTTTTATAATTCAAATAATTCATTTTGAATAACATATAGATAATTATTTATTGATAAAATATAATTTCATTATTTATATTGAATATTAATCCGATAAAACATAGAAAAATAAAGAAAAAAATAAAAATTCATATACTAATATATATTAATCCCAAATAAAAAATATTTTAGTTCAATTTAACATAAAAAACTTAAATAGATTTAGGTAGAGAGAAATAGATAAGCAATAATTTAAAATTTTTCAAAGCTTAATTATCTTAAAAAATTTTAAAATTTCTAAAAAAAAAAATCAAAGATATAGAAAAGTTTGAAAAATGAAATATAAATATAAATCAAGGAAAGAAAAAATTAAAAATTTTCAAAAGATAAATATTATATATAGAACGACTGTTAGTATGACTTTTTAATTAATATATGAAAAAGTAACATATAAACTTAGAAAATTGAGTATTTTAATATGTTTTATTTGGATAGAATAAAAGGAAATTTTAATCATTATATTTTGGATAGAATTAATATTTTAAATCTGGATTTTTGCAAAAGAGTACAAAAATAAGAACAATCATGATACGTTTTCTCTTGTGGGTAACTAAGAAGTAATAATAGTAATTTGAATATACAACTTCAAACGCAAAGGAAAAAAAGTCTTGATCAGTATTGCTCCTAGCCATCTACAGAAAATAGGATATTTTGGTTGGCTAGAAAGTGAAAATTAGAAACACAAAAAAAAAAAATAATAAATAAAAAAAAAATAAAAATAAAAAAGTGAAGGGAGACCTTAGGGTTTTAATGGAAGATAAATCACTGTTTATATATCTATTTAATATGTAGATAGTTACAACAGAATAACAAAATAAAATGTTAAAAATCATATATATGAATTTATAGCAAATACTTTGTAAATTATAAAATGAAAAACAAATGAAAGAAAGACATTAAAAATACAGAAAATTTATAAAGAAAAGTAAAAAAGTAACGCTGAAAAATTACAACGTCAAGTCAGCATTTTTAAAATGTTTTTTGTTTTAAGATTATATATAGATATAAATTTCAATTTCATTAACTCATAACAATAATTACTAATAAAATTGTTTTTTAAAAATTAATGTTTTTTCATCATTTTATTTATAATTGTTTGAAAATAATAATTTTCTATTAAATATTATATAAAAAATTTAATAAATATTATATATGTATTTAAATAAAAAAATAATATATTCATATTAATAGGGCCAAATGCATAAATTTGCCCCTTGAAGCTTATGCGGTTTGTCTCGTGGCACCCTCAAGTTTATGGGGACCTATCATGATTCTACGCTTTTATATTTCAGTAATAACTATGCTCTTCACCAAAATAAAATGTAAAAATAAAGAGCCATAATTAAACTCTTGCAAAGTTATTCCATTTCGCCAAGGGATCTAATTATTACTGAAAAGTGAAAATGTAGGATCATGATAGGTTCCTTGCAAACTTGAGTGTACCATAAAGCAAATCGCATAAACTTGAGAGGAAAATTTATGAATTAGGCAATTTTAATAGCAACCGCTATTAGAATTTTACCAAATACCGTTATCGTTTATCAGCTAACTGCTATAAAACCATTAGCCACTTATTATCAATTATCAGCTGATATGAATAACTAAACCAAATAGACACTTAATTTATAAGTTCTCTGTAAAATTTAAAGTCCCACAAAAATTTTCTTGCAATATTAATTTAAAGTTCCACAAAAAAGTTTCCTATAATACGAAGGTTAATGTATACTTTTGGGGGAATTTTAGTTTATTAGTAACTTTGTATGTTTATTTTTTGTTTGTGCGCATTTTTAACTGTATTTAATTAAGACATAAAATTTAAAAATATACAAAAATAATCTATCAAATTAAAAGTTACCAAAATCCATTTTTGTTACTTTTAATTTGTTATTTTAATTTTTATTTCAATTTTGAAATTCTAAAAAATTTCTTTTAAAAATGTAAAAATAACATTAATTTTATTTAATAAAATTTTTAATTTACCTGAGTATGAAAGTATTATCTTAATTATTACTCCCTCTATTCTATTTATATAGAGATGTTTCATTTTATAACATTCTATTTATAAAAAGAAAATTGCTTAAATGGTAATTTTGGGACTAAAGTCAAAGCAAAAAGTCTAATATATTCTTATTTTGATTTTTGGTTTGAATATTGACTTTGGGAGAATTTTAAGAAAGTGACAGATATTATTGTGGTTGGACAAATTAATATTCCAAAAGAGAGTAAACCCTGCACTAAGAAAATGTGAACTTTTTCACATTATGAGCATGGATTAAGTTTTTGGAGTTGTAAGCACTGTCTGAATTATATATGCAATTTCTTCCTATAATTAATAATTAAGTGTGCAGTGAAATTTACACACAACTCTAATAAATCCAAAATGAGGGGAAATTTTCCTTCAAACTGAGTATAGTTACAATTTGATTTTCATCCTCTCTCTCTCTCATTTATCACCTTTTATTGAAATTAGGGATCATTCTTAATATTTACTGTCCTTTTTATTGAAATTTGGGGATCACATAATTGTCTTTTCAGGGGTAAATTAGGAAAAAATTCACGAAAGATCATCTTTTTTATTTTAGATAAATTTTGACTTTCTGTATATAAATAGATCGATAGAGTACAATAATTCAGATCAATTTGAATCTATTTTTTTAAAAAAAAAATTTGTTTAAAATGCAATTTTTTTTATCAGCAATCAATGAATTTTATTAAAAAGATATATGAAAATCTTGGCAAACTAATAAGTATATCTGGCCAAAAGGTAACCCATTACACCCAAACCTAAAGCTCAGATTGCCAAGAAAGAAAGTATCACAGTAACTCAAAACAACCGCATAGTATAACGTCTCTTAAGGCAAGAGCTAGAATACAAGGACAAATAGATAACCAAAAACGCAGCACACACAACAGTGGCAGTACCTACTAACCAAAACAACTCAACAATCAAAACACCAGCACCACAAAATGCATAAGACCATTTCCAAGGCCTTTTCTGCTTCGGAAACTTATTAAAATGCAATTCATTTCATAATTATACATTGAAACACAATAATAAATTATAATATTAAAAAATAAAATACAATATAATAATTATTAAAGTTGGGAATAAATAAATTTATCATTCCAACTTAAAAATTTTAAAACATCCAAATAATACACCAATTGGACAAATTCTGTCCATGCACCAGAAAAATAGTCATGGAATCCAAATCCATATCTATCTTTAGATTGCTTTCCTCCAAACCAAAAAATAAAATAAAATAAATAAAAACAAAAACAAACCAATCATAATCATTTTTTTAATTAAAAAAAAAAAAATTAGAGCCCATCTCTCCCTAAGCCCTATAACACTTGTGTGCCTCTAGACGTCGCTTTTTCTTTATCGTGAATGACAATCAAACACATGTTGCATTGATCATTTTGTCTGCTACCGAAACGACATGAATGGCACACGTTAGCCTCAGTAAAGCAACTTCTTTTAACATGTTCCATATTTCCGGCGCAAGTTAGTCACGACAAGCTGATTTAACATTCCACACTCACGCAAGCGGCGCGTCTCATGACCTCAGGCAGATCAGGGCCCCTGATCCACTCTTCACGGCTACAATCATAAATCAAAACCAATCCTTCCTTTAATCCCCTGACATTTCTTCCACTTCCCCTTAATAAATCGTCAATGCAACCATTGACTTGAATTAGCACTACCTTATCTTCCACTCCTACACAGCTAAACCTCACCGTACCGTCGACTCTAACTTGAGCCGGCAGTGGAGGGCTCTTTATTCTACACCACTCTCCAAACGCGCCACCGCCGCCACTGGATTTTCTACGTGCGTCAAATCTCCAAAATGAAAGCTCCACCGCGTGGCTTGCTAAAATGTACACAAACCCAGCTGCCGCACATGCTGCCACTACACACCCGCCTCCGGGAACCGCTCGGCTCCTAAGCCACACTTTTGCCTCCACATCATACAAGTCCATTGAACTTGCATACACATATGCCTCTGCCCCAGCTGTGGCGGCGCGTGAAAATTCATTTCCAGCTAGTCCACCAATTTTAAGTCCACCAATTACATAAAACACACCATCAACAGCTGCTCCGATGCACCCGAATCTCTTTCTCGGCGCTTGTGCTACTAAAGACCATGAATCAGTATCTGGGTCGTACTCCTCAACTGTCGCGGCAGCGCGTGGCCCGCCTCCGGCAACATAGATTTTGGAAGAAACTACAGCAGTAGCGAATTTCTTCCTAGGAAAAATCATAGAAGATCTAGAAGAAATCGTGGCACTCCATGTATCATAACAAAACAATCGATTTCGCCCGATAATGTAGATTCTGGGTCCAATCGCAGATAATCGAGCATGAGAAATATTATCTAAAGAACCAATTTCAAATAGAAGACACGAAGCAATCTGCCAAGGTTCTTGGAAACAAAGGTTGGCAGCGAAGAGAGTTGAATTAGAAACTGAGAAGGCGAAAACAGTTGGGTGGAGGAGGTTGTGGAGGCGGCGGAGGGAGAGGAAAGAAGAGGAACGAAGGAGGTGAGACCAGCGGCGGCAGACAAGGGAAAGAGAAGGGAGAGAAGAGGAGGGGACTCGAGAAATACATTCCAAGAGAAGGTCATCGGGAAGAGAAGAGATGGTGGTGATGGTGGCAGTGGTGGCGGCGTTGATGGGTTGGATGGGATTGGGAGAGTTGGTGTGCTGTGGACTGGGGAAGCAGGATTTCATTAGCCATGAGAAGTGGCGAGAGTTGCAGCTGTCTGACATGGACTTCTGATATTACTTTGGTTAGATAGATACAGAGAATAGAAGTGCTGTGTAATTAATAAACGAAGGGGGATCTAAGGGGACAAAAAGGGGATTTGCTCTTTTATTTAGGTTAATTAATATTTTTGTTTTAATTTCAGGTGGTTTAACTAAAGTTCAGGGGGGACCACGTGACACGTGGCGAGTTACACAACCAGCTACTGTTAGTTTTCTTTTATGTTTTTCGGTGCAAAAAGCCAATTATATTTTTAGATCAATTTTATATAAACTGAATTTATTGATTTAAATCATGAATCAAACCAGAGAAATAATTTTTTATGAAATAAAAATATTTTTGAAAATTTACTAAAAAAGTAAAATGAAAATAATTTTAAAAAAATGTCTATTCTGATTAATTTAATTTATAGTGGTATGGTGCTATAGATTAAATGGAAGTAAGTCTTGTCTATTTTTAAAATTATCATAATATTGAGATTAAATTTCAAATGATTTTAAGAAAAAAGATCCCTATGTTAATCTTCAAATAATTTCTTTCTTCGGTTTCAAAAAAAATTTATTTTTAAAATTCAAAATATATATTTTACCTACTAAAAAATAAAATCAATGTGTGGATATAGATATCAGTGTATTGTAAACAACTAAGATTTTATCTTAGGTGTCTCTGGATTCATTTACAAATTTTTTTATTTGAATTTACGTTCAAATTTTATTTTATTTTTATGATAAATTTATATTGAAATTTGTTTTAGGAAAAAAATATAATTTTTCATCCATATGGAAAAAAATATAAAATATAAAAATATATTACGAAAGTATAATAAGAAATTGGCTTAAATTTTTCTAGTAATCACCATCTACATTGATAGAGTATTAGAACTGACAGGATATTCAAAATAAAAAATTTAAAACTCTATAACTATTTTTTTTTTTAAAAAAAAAAAAAGTCTAAAAAGATGGTAAAACTTGTACGAAAAGAGTCAATACATGAGTACTCTTTGAATTGAGAAGCTCTTAACCAGAAGTTGACTGGATGGAGCCGGCGGTAAACGACTTGCCTTTCTTGGAGTAAAGAATCCACCACAGCCTTATGTGTTTGCTTCGTTGTGTGTCAGAAGGATAGAATAGTCTGGTTGACAAATACATTTGGCAAAGAAAATTTATTAAGTTGTGACTTACGACAATAAGGAAGTAATTAATGTTTCTACGTTATAATAAATTTAAATATAATTTATAAAATTATCATTTATCTTAAAATTAATTGCTTTTCGTTACCCGTTAATAATCGTAGAATGTAAATAGTTCATAGCCCTTAGAATAATCGTAGCTGGAACATACTTGTGCTGTTACACCAACTGGTTGCGGTTCCTCCGAAGTTTCCATTTTATAATAACTTAAGCATAGTTTTTCTCTAGGAACCGCAGAGATCATAGAAGCTATCTAATTATGAATGCTGTTGACACCATTCCACCATCCTATAGAAGACCAAAACCAAGTTTGTTGAGCTATCAGATAGAGCCATAGAACATGCAAGGTAGTCTCATCCTCAATATCACGCAGTGGAAGACGAGTATTTACATCAACATGTCGAGCTTTTAAGGACACCAGAATAGGAAGGCAACTCGAAACAACTCTCCATGCAAAATTTCTAATATTAGCTGCAATCATAAGATAGAGACCTTATTATTAGTTTAACTGTAATTTATGGACCAATTTCTTAGTCAATTGCCTCATTTTTTATATTCCCTTTTCATATTGAATCTGTTTTGGTATTGGTATGCTCTGTTTTTTTTTTTTATTTTTTTTTTATTTTTAATATTGATATAGATTTTTTAGCGTGTAATAGTTATATGTAATAAAGATTTTTGTTTTAAGAACAAGACATGTCCGAATAGCAGATGACTCTCCAACCAAAATCGAAAAAGGGTCAATTTTAAGACAAAAGCCTCCAAGCCATCTCCCTCTAAAATTACGAAATAGTCCGCCTCCACTTGTAAGTCCCTGATTAGTCAGACTACTACCATCACAATTTAACTTCACCAAACCCTCCTCAGGCAGCACTCAAGAGAGATCGACTCTCAATCACAAAACTACATCATCCATGTTAAAAAATTAAAAGTATTACTAAATAAAAGTATGATATTTAATTTTATTCGGTTAGAGACTTTAAATAGATTTTTTTTTTGGGTTTTAGAGAAATATAATTTATTTTTTACAATTAAATCCATCCAAAACTAAAGTTATCAAAAATTATAAATTAAATCGAATCGATTAATTAAAAAAAATAAAATTAGATTAGTTAAATCCGGTTTTTTCGGTTTTAACTTATGTGTACTCTCCCCTACTTGTAAATCAATATATAAATAAAGTTACTTGAATTTAGTGATGCAATTTAAGAGTTAATAAATTAGATTATGCCACATTGGATCTACATGCATTCAACATGATATTTAAAAATTGGATGATACTCATTATTTTCTTTCATAACTTTTTAAATAAAGTTAACTTGTGATTAAATGGTTAAATAAAAAACAACTCAAAGGCTTTAAAAGCTATATCTGTACACTATTATTATCTCTGTTCATTATTTTATTTTAATAACTTATTTAATAAAATTAGTTTGTAATTAAATTAATAAAACATATTATTCAAAAGCTTTAAAAAGTATGTATATGCATCATTGTCATCCTATTCATTCAAAATATTTATTCAAACATTGACTTATGACTAAATGGAAAAAGAAAACTACTTGGTAACACTACAAAAAAACCGCCATTTTGCGACTGACCAATCGGTCGCAAAATGGCAAAAATCGGTCGCTACTTTCAAGTAGCGACCTATTTGCGACCGACACCTATCGGTCGCAAAACAAAAAAAACCGCCATTTTGCGATCTGACTCAATCGGTCGCAAAATGCGCAAAAATCGGTCGCTACTTTCAAGTAGCGACCTATTTGCGAAACCGACACCCCTATCGGTCCGCAAATCAACTCGGTCCGCAAAATCAATTTGCGACCGATTTTTATCGGTCGCAATTTTTGGTCGCTGGTTTTAATTGCAAATTCAGTCGCAAATTTGGTCGCAAATAATCGGTCGCAATTTTTTTAACATTCGGTCGCAAAATAGGTCGCAAATTTGTAAATTCAAAACTTTATTAGTTTTGTAAAATCAATATCGGTCGCGAAAAATTGGAAAAAAAAAACTAAAAAAAAAATTAAAATATTATTTTGAAACCAAATTTTTTGCAACATGTGAAAGTTGACATAAAATGCATATATACACACATTTCGCAATTCAGAACAGTATAACAATGTAATTTTATTGTTCTGAACAAAATTAAAATATGAAATTACAATGAAAAAATAAAAGGTCGAAAAATAAAAAATCTATATATGCTGCTGCTCATCCTTGCGGATCGCGATGTCGGATCGCCGGGAGGAAGTAACCCTGCTGGATATGTGAACTGTAGGCCAGGAGGGGTGAACCAGGTATGCGTCTGGCAGCATTGGGATCAGGAGCCCGATAGTGGCTGCTGCTGAGACGGTCGAAGCCCCATGTCGGTCTGTAGCAGGCGCACGGATCAGAGGAAGAAGTACCAGCACCTTGCTCAACCGGACAGCCGCATCACATGCGCTCTAGCTCTGCAGAATTCCTGTCTCCTATTAGAAACTGTTCCAATCAAATGTGACAACATAAGAACTATCAACTTATTTAAGAATCTAGTCCAGCACTCTAGAACCGAGCATATAGAACTCAGACATCAATTCATACGTGATCATGTTCAAAAAGGTGATATAGTGATCGAGTTCATTCATACAGAAAAGCAATTGGCAGACATTTTTACTAAACCTTTAAAGGAAAGCCAATTCAGCTTGATTAGAAGAGAACTGGGTATGTTACACTACAAAAAAAACGCCATTTTGCGACCGACCAATCGGTCGCAAAATGGCAAATATCGGTCGCTAATTTGATATTGTGACCGATTTGCGACCGAAGATCGTCGGTCGCAAAAATACTGGTCGCAAACTAATTTTGCGACCGATGATACAATCGGTCGCAATTTTTGGTCGTGGTTTAATTGGAAATTCAATCGCAAATTTGGTCGCAGAATATCGGTCGCAATTTTTTGAAATAGGTCGCAAATCGGTCGCAAATTGTAAATTCAAAATTTTTATTTTTGGCCTGTAATGAATTTTTATGCATGATATATTAATATATATAGTGTCCTTTCATTAAACATCAGTTTATTGTAAAGGGACTAGTTCACTTACTAATAAACTTACTAATAATCGAGCTGTCTCTATAGCAGATATAGATCCGCCTGTGTGTCGCGAAGGTCCTGCTCCATCCCCGCCAGTCTCACTGCGCCTGTTTTGTGCAAACATCTCCCGCTTTCTCTTGAATGCAGGATCCTCCCAAGCCTTTTGCCAGCTCTCCCATATCTCCTGAGACACGCACCGTTGTTTCTTACCGCTTCTTCTCATCCTATAGGTGAAGTCAGCGTATCGATCGGCGCATATCTTCTCCCAGGCTACTTTCAGCATAGCCGTAATGAATGGCCTCGTCCAATATTGAAATGTTTCCTGCCAAACAAAAAATGAAATATAGCGTTTAACACCTAAGGATGTATCTTGAATTTGTACATTGAATGAATGATATAACGTTAAACCAAGAAGTACCTGGCAACTCCTCCCAAATAAAGTCTCTCGCCTCTTGTGGTACGGCATCCCATGTGGTATCCTTCCTTATGCAGCTGTAGCTTGATTATCTTTCAAATTTGCCTCGCGCTGCTCGAGAAATGGATATATGCTGAAAAAAAAAAACAGAAAGTGAAATATAATTACACCAAAAAGGCATCACAGTTACTGAATAATTAACAAAATATAATTTACAAATATGCCCTACAGAAAATTTTTTGAATATCAGTACTTTACTGTCCTGCTACCAAACTGAGGGTGATACGTGGGATCTAGATGAAGCCTACAAAAGAAAATGACAAATGTTATAATTTCCTAGATATTAATTATATTAAAAATGACAAGTT